GAAACTATATTAAAATGTGTGTTAATGTCACCTGGATTTAAAAATAGGTATAACACGAGCAATTTTCATAGTAAAAGTTAGTAAAACTTAGGAGTAACGGCAGAATACCCGATTAGCAATGCCACTTTGGTTCACTGTAAGCTTTAGTGTATCGCTCAAGAAATTTGCTGTAGCACATTTTAGGATCATTATACCCGTCTATATTGAGCCAATCAATTCTAATTCCTCTAGGAAGTTGGAAATGTTTAGCTCGCTTTTGTCACGGACAAATATGTTTCTCTTGGTGTTCAACACTTATGATCGAAGCAAATGGAAAAGATAGGCAGATGGTCCGAAATATCCGTTATTAATAGTCCAGACTTCAAATAACTGTGCTCGACATGGTTAGAAAAATGTTGTCAATCAGAGTTGCAGTGTGAGAAGTAATTCAGGAAGGTAACGTGATTAACGGAAAAAACAGGTTTACATGTGTGTTTAAATGGAACAATGAAAGATGATTCGATTGTTCACGACTAATCATGATTTCTTTTTGAAGAGTATCGTTAAATTTATCTTCTACATAATAAGAAGGCTTTCAAGAACGAGGGATAACACAAGACATAGGAACCTGTGCTTTTGATAGACGCCATTCTTATTCAATGACATATAAATGAGTGGCAGGATATTCTGCAGTTTAGCCAAAACTTACCCGTCGAGGGCCAGAAAGCCACTACAACAATCTTCAAGATCCACTGAAACAAAATCATTGCAAGTCTGTTTCTTGGCAATGATAAGTATTTAGCAGTACTGAACATCTTCCTCTGTTTAACACGTGCGACTTACAAATGTACTTTCCGTTTGTAATAATATCAGAATTATATCGCGTTTGTTTGTTTTTTCTCCTCTGTTTTCTTTCTTGAAGAATTTGATCGGTTTTTGGTTGAAACTGATTCCTCAAATAACAGCTGTGATAACTTTAGAGAGAGCAAAGCCAACTTACACATTAGAAAAAACTCTACACTGTCTGCAACGCATTCGCTTGTCGCAATAGAATGCGGACAAATGATGTTAAGTTAGTCATATTTACATTACATGCCCACGGGGTGTTGTGTTTTTATATCGAAGAACCGACGGGTCACTTACAGAAATTAGTGGTGGTTACACACACCTTGGGTTTGGGGCCTTACGGTGGGTAAATGGCTTGGGTTTGGTTAAGCTCAGGTTTCGTGTTACCCTTGAGGATGCGGTTACACAGTAAGACTCCCGTAAGGAAGTCAGATCATGTGTACTATAGGTGGCCTCGGTCGACATATAGGCGGACAATCGACCGATATATCGTCGGCAATCGACCGACAGTCGACCGACAGTCGACCGACAGTCGACCGACAGTCGACCGACAGTCGACCGACAGTCGACCGACAGTCGACCGACAGTCGACCGACAGTCGACCGACAGTCGACCGACAGTCGACCGATAGTCGACCGATAGTCGACCGATAGTCGACCGATAGTCGACCGATGCATCACCCGATATGTACACATTTATCGGTCGACTGTCGGCCGATATATCGGTCGACTATCGGTCGACAATCGACCGACTATCGGTCGATAGTCGACTGATAGTCGACCGATAGTTGACCGATAGTCGACCGATAATCGACCGAAATATCAACCGACTGTCGGCCGATGCATCAGCCGATATGTGCACATTTATCGGTCGACTGTCGGCCGATATATCGGTCCACTGTCGGCCGATCTATCGGTCGACTATCGACCGATAGTCGGTCGACTGTCGACTGATAGTCGACCTATAGTCGGTCGATAGTCGACCGAGGCCACCTATAGTACACATGATCCAGGAAGTGATTGCCATGTCTAATTTGAGGTAAGAAGCATAGTGTCAGCCAAGGTCACAAAGCCTCACAAACAGGGGATTCAATGAATCCGTCGCCACTCTGTTAATAAAAACCAAGCAGGGGAAAGAACTGAAACTTCTAACTCCAATATTTTCGACACAAGCCAGTCAAATGTCAGTTACAAAACAACGAAGTATCGCCTGATTCGTTGGCTGAATGTTTCAAATGTTAAAAATATATTTGGATTGTCCGTTGTCGACTTCCGTTATGTCATCTACGGTAAAATCAATAGAAAATCGATACTAGCACTAACGATTGACGTTTTGGGGTAGCGATTTCTATTTATCTCAAGTAATTGGTCGCAACATTAGCGATTGACTAGCGATTGCTTGATGTTAAAAAAAAATAACGCAAGTGATAAAGGTTTAACACTATTGATTGACTATAAGAACTACGATTGATATTTGGCGCAACCGATCTGCCTCAAAACACCGGCAATTCTAAGTAGCGCTTTCAACTTAAGTCCTCCAGCGTCGTTTGATGCAACAACGCAAAAGCGATCGATGTTCACCACTAACGACCATTTTAAAAAGGCAACTAAATTGGTTTACAACTACAATTTGTTTCTAGCACTAACGAGTGACTTTTATCACTAGCGATTCATAGATAGCACTAACGATTGAGTTGTACCACCAGCGATTCACATTTTTGGCACAAATGGCTCCCCATAAGTTGCGAATCGACCAGCAGGCCAGGTACGAACCGACACAAACTGGGTACAAATCGTCTGAATTTTGGTACGAATCAAACTTTCATAGGCACAAAACGACGGAATATATGGAAATTCTTGTATAGGATACCAACCAATCAAATGCAAAACTAAAATCCGCGTCACGATTGCGCTCGTTTTCCCGCGCTTTAGACACTCTGAGTTAATCGTTTGGCGCGTTGTGATACTTCCCCTTGCCCTGATTGGCTGTTGCGATTACTTTGGATTTTTTCTATGACACCCAGTCGAAAAGTGTTTTAACTTGAGAGAGATTATCCCTTGGTAAAAAAACAGGGCATTTTTTTTTATCTTTTATTCTTTTTTCAAGGATTCAGTTCTCAGCTTGATCCCATTGTGTCTATCCAGAATTGTTTTCCTTGTCATTTTATTGTCTGGTAATTGATTTGATCATGTTACTATATAAACTGAAACGTCCCCCATGTAGATAAATATGGAACCAGGCCTGATATGGAACATATTAAAAGGAAAATATCGCGCGTGACTGAATGACTTTCAAAGGAATTTGTGTTAAATCAGCACCGGATATCCATAAATAGAGGACTGTGGAGATCGTACGAGCCACGTCACAGAGCACTTCGTCATGGGAGGTAAGATCCTGTCTATAATTTGTACAATGACAAACCAGAAAATAACGCACGTGTTAGACACACATTTGTCTGCGATTCAGTGCATACTAACACGACCACCACATTGTGAAAAGGCAGTACAGTCAAAACAGACCCAAATAAAGCTGAGAAGAACTGGTGAAAATAGAATAGTATGGTCACCGAGCCTTTGGTTGCACACACGTGAACTTGGAAGAGGAAACAGGAGAGTATCAGCTGGAAAGAGTTGTCATGGACACGGGATATGAGAATCTCTAGATGTCAAGTAAGTGAATTGAAAACAGATACAAATGTTCATGTTATTTCTCTCAGTAAACTTTTGAAGCTTATTAAATGAACTTAAATGAACGCCATGGTATATCTATCGGTATATGATTTAAGGTTTTGTATAGTCAAACTTCAGAAACCTCCTATATCCTTCAGGCTGCCTCATGAGAGACGCAAGCACCTAAAAAAACTCTACCAAGGTGTGTGAGACCTTGACCCTCTTTGATAATCCTTGATAAGGAGAGTGTGGTTCGCCATCAGAAAAACACAATCCACCCTGACGAAGGGCTGACGCTCGAAACGTCAGCCTTAGAAAATCTTAACGGTGGCCAATTTACGTTACAACTCGGTTGATAAAAGGTCATGAAACTAATTTACTCTTGTAACACCCTCCAGACGCAGCAAAAACAGTTTACCCCTTCATCGAATTGTTAATGGCCCGAGAACGTTATTGTCGCCAGTGCTTTCCGAATCCCGTGTACAAAAATATGGCTGTTGCGATTAAAAATTCGCGGAATTTTAATGTTTTCTCAAAAGGATTCCTTCCGAAAATTACAACTAAAACTACGAACTCACCTCGCCTGCGGTATAGGCATCAATTGCTCTGTCAAATAATCAAATTACGATAATAGCTCCGTTTTTCGATGACATTCAACAATTTGGTTTGCTCTTCCCATAATGAGCTTCTTCCAATGACAATATTTTCGTTCAATAAAACACTTTAAAGCAATCTCTCTGTTTATTTGCCTCCACTGCAAATTTAAGATATTGTTTGATTTGGTTATTTGATAATCCATAATTGCCTATTAGTGGGCGATCCTTAAATCTTAGATTAGATCACGTCCGCTTTATAGTGAACAAACCGAGACAGAAAAATCCTACGTGATCATTTAATCGCTTAAAAAGTAAGCAGAAATGTGACTATCCTGTTGATGTTTGTTCTTTTAATGCTTATCCGTTTGCAAAACGCAAATAATGTCACGAAATTTTTCCCTGCCACAAATTTACACAATAAATCAACTACGAGCCAATTAGAAGGCTTCATTTCTTACACGTGATGAAGTCGGTTACGTTCATCTCTGTGCTAAACAATACTTCTCGAAACCTTTATCGAGATTAAGGAACCCAAGAGCCCGCAAATTGGAAACTATTTTTTGTGTTTAGTGGAAGTTGAAACGTTCAACAAGTTGTTAATTATCTGCGAGTATCTTTTCAGTCCTTTGATGGCCGAGCGTTTGGATTGTTATGAGGAATTTAGTGACATTTGTGGAGGTGTGAAGCCATAGATGTGTAAGGATTCTCGCTACATTTCGAACGTGTTATCGGTGTTGATGTTCATTTGGTGAACGAAATTTATCATGCTGGACATTTTGTATAGCAGTTTGAGTGTTTCGACAAAACATTCTCGTTCGTCTTTTTATTTTACAAGCAAATATACCGTGGATCAGGAACGATGAGGAATTTTATGTGGCAAGTATATTAATTGGAATTTCCTCGATACGACATGCAGCCGAGTTATAAACCGTTCAAAGGGAATCTCGTTCGAACGGTCGATTTATACCGACGGACTGGCGGATTTGGTTTCACGCTGTCAAGCCAGGGACCATGTGTACTCAGCTGTATTATAGCTGGAAGTCCCGCTCACAGGGCAGGCCTGAAACCAGGTGACGAGATAATCGAAGTTAATGGGGCTTCCGTGGAAAATGCTCCGCATGAACAAGTTGTCAAACTCATTGCGCGCTCTCCGGATGGGATGGTTCAACTTGGGGTTCGTAACCGGTCAGAATTGCAAAGGTTTAGAATGAACGAAACGAAAATCAATGCGGAAAATCAAGAAGAAACAGTGATAAACGAAACGATATTGAATCGAGTTGATAAAGTCGTTGAGGAATTGAAATCAGGTCAACTATTCGGGGATTCGCCGTCGCTAAACAGTTCTTTATCCAACGGAAAATTTATATCTGAAGATGATATCGTTACGGATGAAGAATTAAAAGCTTCTTTTTGTGAAAGTATTAGGTCTGAAAGCTCTGTTCCTGGTTCCTCTCCTGCTCAGAGTTACGCGAGTAGCAGGCGATCTAGCGAGGGAGATGTTGCGTCAAATAGTTCATCATCTCCGATGTTATCTCGACTCCTTTATCCTAAAATGACGCCGTTGAAAGGTTGTGATCAGGCAGATATCGACCTAGAACCGGAACTTCGATCTATTGTAGGCTATTTAGGTTCTATTGAACTGCCCGCAGCGTCAAGTCTTCCAGCCGCAAGTCTGAGTGCAATAAGAAATTGTGTTCGACGCCTTCGAGCACAACAAAAAGTTCATGTGTTTTTTCTCATGGAAGTCTCTTTAATCGGGATAAAACTCTTGGATAACGAGAAGAGAGCTGTTGTTACGTACCCCATTAAGTCCTTGGCATTTACTGGACTCTGCTCTGACGATAAAAGAGTGTTTGGTATAGTCACCAGAAAAACTAATGAACCATCTGCAGATAAGTTCAATAATGCCTCCAGTAACTGGCAGGTTCAAAATAATCACAAAACTGACATCCAAAGCACTGTAAATTGTTCTTGTCATGTTTTCTCAGTGAATCCAGAGCTCAATTCTCATCAAGCTCATCAGCATCTTGCTGATAAGTATGGAATACAATGTACCGAGGATGCGAAGGGAGGTTGTACTGAATTTCCTGCCTCTTCTAGCCCTGTCCTGAAAGCCATCACTGGCATGTTCAAGGAGAGAACAGGGTCAGAGTCTGGTGGAGCAAGCAGTGATGGTGAAAGAAGGGGACGGTCTTTGTCATTATCTTCTAGCCAATCAGAGTCAGATGGGGTATTCCGACAACCATTTGATGATGAGAACTCGACAAGTGAACCTCCAACAGTTAATTTTATTACCAGTCACATGGTAAATGGATTGCCACTGGATATTGATTCTTTTCAGATGCAAGAACAGACCACACAAAATGACTCAAAACCTCTGAAAAGAGTGGACCAGCAAGGGTTGCATGAAGCTGTTACATCATTTAATGAACAGTTTAAAAATACAGAGCGAAATGATTCAGGTGTTGGTTCTGATTCCTTTCCTGAAGCTGTGAATAATGTTTCAACTTCACAGGGTGATAACTTGAGCCGACCTGCTCCTCCTGTGGTGAATGTGTCCTCATTTCATTCTCGTGAGAGTTCAGCTGATTCTCAAATGTCCTTGGGGTCACACCACAGTTCACTAGCTGGTACTTTAACTGAAGTTGGAATAGCTGGTAAATCTCAGCATAGTTCACAAATTGGACCAGTTGGAACAAAGGATCCATCTCTAAGTAACTCTCAAGAGGTGAGTGAAACCTTTGTACCATGCCATTTCACCCTTTAGCCCTTTAAACCCTAGGAGAGATCAGCATCTAAATTCTCCTTGCAGTAATACTGCTGAATCATTCATTAATATTACAAGAATAAAGGAAATGATCATCAACCTAAGATGCTTTGATTGTAAAACAAATTCTCCCTGTTCAGGCCAAAGGAAACTTATAGAGAAGAGTTTGGGGAATATTGATACTGATGTTAGGATGTAAAGAGTTAACTCCATTAAACAGGTGTCCTAGAACAGAGATACATTTCAGCAAGAATGATATTTTGATAACAAAAGCAGCAACAACAGCAAAAAAATTGTCTTAATTTACCTGGAAATGTGAGTCAAAGGATCAATAAATTCATGTGCTCTTAAATCCTATTTGGTTTGATCCTATCAAGCTAGTTTTGCCTTTATTGCCTCTAAATGCTGATTCTTACTTTTAGATATAATTAAAAACAGGACAGGCAACTATAGAGCAATTGAGTGTTGAGAGAATGTGATTGCATTCGTTTTGCTTTACTTTGGTCCTTGATCTAGATTTCTTGCACAACTCTCTCTACCAATCAGGTGATAAGCTAAAACCAGTCACATGACTTGGTTGCCCACCTTCTCTGATGAGCATTGAAACAAAGATCACTTTTCCTCCAATGTCCTACAATCCTATATAATGACATGCAAAATAATTTCTTTTGAGCGGAGTTTTAGGAACTTTTAGAGTATCTATCATAAACTAAAGCAAATTCCATTGTACACACTTATACTCAGAAGGTAATTGAATTAGACAAGACACAAATTTGATAATTGTTTTTATGTGGTTGCATGAAATTGAGTTACATTCATTCAGAGCACAAGTTTTTCTCAGTTTTTTTTTAACCTTAAAATAGATAAGCATTGGTGTTTTGTAAAATTTGTCTAAAAATATTTATTTCACAGTGAATATCTTCTCCTTAGCTTTGTTTTATCAGTGTCTAACTTTGAATTGTTATAGGAAAAATGAAAAAGATAAATTTGGAGATCAAGTGAAGATACTTTATATCAATTTAAAAATACATTTTCAATGAGGAAGACATTATTTTTCAGGAAGTTAAGAGTCGCCATGGAACACGTTTTTGTTTTGGTTATAGATCAGATCTTACTGATGCAATGTAATATCACTTTTATATACATTGATTTTTTTATTTATGATTAACGCTGCTAGAATTTTTTCTTTCTTGACTTTTTAAATTGAATTAGTAAGTATTTAACAATAGTCCTCCTTTAAAGGAATTAAGAGAGTTCTCATTTGGTGAGAGAAAGAAATATAATTTGTGTTTATTCATGTACATACAGTGTATAACAGCTTGTTAGATTCTTCTATCTTGAATATGCAGTAGCCTCAAAGATAAGCAAAATTCAAGATCAAAACTAGAAAAATAAGCAGTAAATATGGCAGGTATATATAGTGGAAAATTACAGGGTAATCAATATTTAATTACCTTTGCCTTGATGCACAATGTTTATCTTGAAAAGGTTGCAGGCTATAATGCTGAACAATTTTGTTTAGACTTCTTGCGAGTCAGAAAAATTGATTTAAGACAACTTTTGGTTTTCAGTCCTCTTTATTGAAACTTCATACATGAAGTACTAGAATTAGGTTATTCAAACAAACCTCAGATCTCATGCCATCATTTCTTGTTTATTTGGATATGTTTTGTGGACAAGTTCTTATCATAATTAGGATGTGGCAATGATCTTGAATGTGAGGAATGTAAACTAGTCAAAGACTATTGAGTTCAGTTAATAAATATTGGAGTATAATTCTATAGAGGCAGTCGATATTTCACCGGTACTTCAGTTTTGAAATTAAGAAGGAATTTTGTTGACATTTTGTGGAAGCCTTCACACATCAGTACTTTTCAGGCTGTTTTGGTGATCATGTTTATATCAAGTCATCTTTTTTCAAGGTATTAATCACTGAAGTCACTGAAGCATTTAATTAATCCATGGATTCATTTCAATTTAAGGTTACATTCCATTGGGAGCTTCGTAATGAAGTTTGTAAAATTTATTATTAAGATGTCATTTACTAGTTTGCATAACTGGGTCTATATGGAGCAACATTTTTAATAGTATTCGTGGACTGAATTTGTGTGTATGAAGTGATTTTGAATAACTGGAAGTTGTGGAAGTGGTATTCAAAGTAGGTGCTATTTTAGGTCAGTTCCATTGTTTTGATTGTTGTGTCATTGACAATTACTTTTGTAAAACCAATATTCAGTTGTCTTGCAAACTTAATAATAGCTGTAGTTGTATGTAGCTTTCTCTGTCATCTCTAAATCACTTCAGAATTTGAAGCTGTGTTGGTGCCCTAACCTTTCAATCTGTAATGTGTTAAAACACATTACTGTGCTTTTAAAGTGTTTAAGCTACTGATCATAGAAATGTCTTAGAAGTTTTGAGCTCTCCTGTTTGTTATGCATGATAATGTTTCTTGCAAGAAAACTTTGTAAAGTGTCGATTTTCTTAGACAAATCTAAGTAAACATGCTGAAGAATATCTTTCCTTGCAATGTTGAATTAATTGAGACTGAGTTTGTTTTTCGGTTTCAAGTATATTCTCTGCATACTTGTAGAGCAACCAAATCTGAAGTTTTGCTTTGTAAACATTAACCACGCGATTGCAAACCTAGTGATTGCACTAAATTTGAATTTTAAGCAGTCTTTAAGTGCTTTGATGTGGCAGGATATACACTGTAGATGATACACTTAAAGTATTTCAAGTTTAATCACTAGAAACTAACTAGCATATTATGGACATTGGAGCTGTTCATGAAGGTTCGATACAAGTTTTTGTTATGTTACATGTACACCCTTATTTTTAAAGCTGAGAGGTTTTAATTAATGTTTACTGTTTTTGAATACTAGTTGTACAACTATCTGATTAAAAAGGTGCAAAGTACTAAGTTAAACATAGATTTGCAAGCTGTAGAGAAAAGGATGAAAAACTTCCACATTTTAGCAAAGTTTAAATGCCACTTGCAAAACTTTCCTGAAGCTCAGAGGGAGAGCATCAAAATGATGATAGGAAATTTTAGGGTTCTAATTCTCATGAAGATTCTTGGCTTTTAAATTTTATGTCTTGAAGCAATTAATATTGGATAGGTGAAGAGGGTATAAGAGGGGTAACTTATTGAAAAGCCTCAGAAGGAAAAAATGCAATTCACCTTTTTCCCAGGTTTTTTTTCTTTTTTTTTTTTACATCAGCCTACTACATTTGCTATACAGTTTGCAAATGTATTTCATTGGTTAAAAACCCATGGTATAGAAAGTACTACAGGTTTTCTTTTATGTGGCTTGTGACTTATGTGTGACATATTCCAATTGATCTACAAAACTTCTACTATTTTTTATCTCGAGGAAGATAAAGATAAATAATTAGGGGTTTGAAGACTGTAGATAATTAGAAAAAGGGTTTGAAGACTGTGATTTTCAACTTGGGGTTCAGAATCGGTCAGTTGCAAAGGTTTATGGTGTTGAAAATCAAGAAGAAACAGTGAAAACGAAACTTTGAATGAGCTTTTATCTGCCTCAGGAATTGAAGTCAGGTCATGATGGTAATAAACAGTTCTTTATCACTTAAAATTTATATCTGAAGATGATATCATTACGGATGAAGAATTAAAAGCTTCTTTTGTTTAGGTCTGAAAGCTATGGTTCCTCTCCTGCTCAGAGTATTTATTAGAGTAGTTATCAAAAAGTTTTGTAATCAACTCAACTTGTTTTTGCTTTTGTAATTAACTAGATGTTTTTATGTTCTTTGTTTTTCAGTCTTTGGCATATTCAGATATAGGTAAGCCACAACATTTGCTTGATTGGTTTTTGTTTGATTGTAAGTAGGATTTTAATGTGTTTTAAAAATTGCCAATTGTTTGGTAAATGAAGACTAAATTACCTCTGGATTCATAACGGTTGTAGAGTGGGGGGGATTAAATGTGAAGTGCTGGCTAGAATTAATTTGGTTGGCAATTTATAGCTCCAAATCTAGTATAAAATCATAGAGAGTAAATGACTAAAAGTGTTTGAATGAAATTGAAACAATTTTGTTTGAGACGAGTTTGAATTTTGTCATTCTGTAAGCAACCTAGTTAAGGTGAACACTGCAAACTTAGTTTTTTGTTTTAAGGAAGCTCACTGAGCGAGTCTGAGTGGTAGGATAGCAGGGTTGTTGTGAATTTTTCCAGATGATAAGCGGCCATTGCTTGCTGAATTTTCGTCACTTTTCTCTGTCATATGAATATTGCCTCTTTGATTGACACAGTTGTAGGAGCAACCCAAAGCAGAAAGACGTTAATTGCCAGTGCAAGTATCAGTTCAAGCACTCCAAGTATTCACAGTCTGAGTAGCATGCCTGGAGATATGTCTCAGGTGGATGGCAGAGTTGGACGATGGGCTCTTGGGTTTGACAAGCTCATGGAAGATCCTGCTGGATTGGGCTGTTTCAAGGTACACATATGCACAAATATGTTATATGAAATAATAAATAGATATTTACACAAGTTGTAAATAAATTAATAAATATGCAGCTTGCATTTTAGCCTGGAGGGCATCAATGAGGTGGCTGTTTGTTAACTGCTCCCACTTGAAATTGAATTTAGTGTGTTTGTTTCTTGGAGGGTGAAAAATGAAGAAGCCTCAATCAGAGAAACCCTGGAAGCAAGTACAAAAACAAGCAGTTAACTCAAAGCTTATTATATAAAGTTAGGTCTGGGAATCACACCCAGGAAAGAAACTGCTATGGGAGGGAAGAGTGGTCGCCACTATGCTACATGTATCTATTTTCCCTTTATTTGACATTTATCCTCTGTTCCCTTCTGTTTGTATCTCCTTTTTTTCTATTCCCACCGACACAACAAAACACTTTTTGATCTAAAACTTTCAAAATGTCTTTGCAGGAATTCTTGAAGAAAGAATTTAGTGACGAAAACATTGTTTTCTGGATTGCTTGTGAAAACTTCAGGAATATCTCAGATTTTGAAGAGGTATGTAAGAAAGTCATTCTGACAAATATCAACAAGGGACATAATTACAGTTGCTGAGAAACTTTATTTGAAATACTGCTATTATTATGAAAATTTCTCTTTTTTTCTCTTTTTTGTATTTCTGTCCCTCTTTGACTTTTTAATATTTAGCTCAAACAAAGTAAGTCTGTGTGATGAATAGAGAGCATAATAATTGTAAGGGAAGGGGGGGAAGGGAATGGAATTGTATGATGGGGGGATGCACTCTGCTTCTCTGCAATGAATGCATTGTGATTCTCTTGAAACATAATTATGTGCCAAAGGTTTTGAAAATTTGTGGAAGAGTTGTGTGATGTGTGTAAAATTGACTTGGATTTCTCATTCCCCTCTACTATTTGATTAGTTCTGTCTAATGACGTACATTGGGAGGCATAGTACCTTTCTGGGCTTGCTTTTTTGAACATGCAGATATAGAAAATGTTTGCACTTTAACAGGGTTGAAAAAATTCTTTCCAAGTGGTTCGTGCAACATGTGATTGCTAGAAATCATGTGTGTGATTGACCAGGGGAGGGAAGAGAAGTATGTTTTTATCAACCAGTATTGTTTCCAAAATGGAAAACTAATATGTATGAGAGTGCAAGTGACCTATGAAGTCCCAGTCAAAATTTTTATAGTAAGTTTGGTGTTTTCTTCTCTTAGCTGAAAATGGAAGCAGAGAGCATCTTCCACAATCATCTTACTGCAAATGCTCCCCTGCCTGTCAACATCGATAGCTGTGCTGTCAGAGATGCTGAGGAGCAACTGCAGAATCCAAACAGTGATATGTTTCGCCTTCAACAGCAGCAGGTTAGATGAGGCCTCTTGTTTTGTAGGTTAAGTGAATAAAAACAGGTACAAACATTATTTGGTGAGGGCAGCATGCAAAACTGACTAGCATAGCTGCTATAGATATAAGAGAATACCTAAGGAATATTGTTACTGATCTGGAATGAGATACTAGTACATTACAAGTTCTCCCCGCATTTTATTTCTCTTGATGACAACCAGCTTAGCCTAGCTTAGCTTAGCCTAGCTTCGTCCTCTTGGTGCATCTATGCACATGACGCCTCAGCCAGAGAATGCCATTGATTTCTGTTAGTTGTCAATTTGCCCCCATGTCCAGCCTCTGACCCTCATTTCCCTTTCTACAACAAGCAGGTACCCTTTTATACTTGGGTTTTGAACAGCACTGTGACAAGGAAGTGCTTTGCCCAAGAACAAAATGCTATAACCTGTTCATTTGTGGTGCAGTAGAAGTTTGGTGTGCCTTTTAAACGATGATTCACAACAGCATGATATTCAACAATACTGCAATTTTTTCTCTACAAATTAGAGAGCTTTGTTGTTGATGTTCAATTTTGTTAACAGAATTGCTGTACTTTATGGTATGTATACCGAGAAAAGAAATCATGATGGCTTACTGATTTGTGATATGTTCAACAGGTCTATACTCTCATGAAATTTGACAGTTATCCTCGTTTTCTGAAGTCGGATGTGTACAGACAGAGTCTTGTGGCTGAAATGGAAAGAGGGCATCTCCCTTGTGAAGACGGAGAAGAGGAGAGAGAAATGAAAAGCAGAGGAAGCTTCTTTTGGAAGGTACATCATAGTGCTGTAGTCTTTATGGTGGCCAGTTTACATTATCAACTCAGTTGATAATATTAAATTACCCTGTTATTCTCTCTGATGTTGCACCATAGTTTCTTTGGAAACTTACCCCTTTATCCCTTTTTTCTTGGTTTTTGGCTCAGTGTCAGGTTGGTACAAGTATAAATCAAACTAAAATGCAAGACTTAGAAGACAGTGACAGGTTGGTTGGAGAAAAAACATGTTGGATAAAAATTTTATTTGCCTGATTATTAAGGTTTTGGGGAGTGTCCTTGGAACATGGAAAAAAAGTTCCCATTGAAAATAAAAATTTGCAGTACATTTCCTACATTTTAGAATTGAAAATCGGAAAAAATATAATAGTGTACAAAGATTAACTGAACTCTATGAAGATTATTTATAAATCATCTCCTTTCAAGTAAGCTACACTACATAGAGAAGGACCAATGCAATACAGGAAATGCTCCAATGAGTGGGGAAGGCCTTGGCATGTTTTGACTGCTTTTTAAATTTTTGATACAACTCTCAATTATCTCTATCTCTGCCTCTACCCTATTTCAATATTGCCTCATGTTAACAAAAATGGTCACTAATTTCAGGCAACTTTGTTTCTGGGGGGAAGGGGAGACTTTTTAGTAATTTATAAGAGATACTTCACAAGATTTTTGTTTAGAATGTTGATAAGAAGGTTGTAGACCACCCACAGATGGGAGGGGTGCTAACTCCTTATTCCCTTTTATATTGTCGGTCAGTAGTTTTCTTTGGGATTTTATAATTCTCAAAATCAAGAAGGCACTGGAAAAATTATAAAATCATTGATAAACTTGTAATCATGGGAATTTTTCAACTAGACTTTAAACTAACCCACCCACTGCATTTAGATACACTTATCTAACCAGTAAAACATTGCTTCTAAATCTAAAACTGTCTCACATAAGATATTGTCTCAGATATGTATAAAAGGTTTGTAGCTAATTTAACCACTGAAATCTCTTTCAAAACCTTGGGATTTAACTAACGTGAAAAAATGAGTAAATTTTCCAAACTTTCAATTAAATTGCATTAGGCATCTTGAATATGTTTTTGAAATAATTGGGTTATATCGCTTGATATTTTCTTAAATGTTTAAGTATGCATGCAGTAAAAATAATGGTCTCTATTCAATGAATGCTGAAAGACCCAAAGCTCTGTTGTATTGGAAATATTCTTACTAAGCTGGTTCATCCCTTAACCCGTAAGAGTGACTGGCTTCTAATCTTTCTTTACAGTATAAACCCTGAATCACATGTTAAGTTCATGAGAATAAAGGAAATGATCACCAATTTAAGAAGTTCCTGATCGTCAAACAAATTCTCCTTGGTAGTAATAAAAGAAAATATAGAGAACAGTATGGAGGATATGACTGTGGTTGTACCAATGTTAAAGTATAAAGGGTAAATGCGATGTTAACAAATATGAGCAGTATTTGATTTCATTGGTAAATCTAAACCGCTAATAGCACTGAAATTGTAGGTTCCACTGCTAAATCCTTCTTCTGAAGAATCTGAATTTTCCAGCAGCAGCAGTCGAAGCAGTTTTAGTCTTGAAGGACAGGTAATGAACAGCTGCAAATAAAACAACTCTGAACCATTTAAAATACTTTCTAAGATGTCTAAACTAGTTGACAGGTTAAATGTTCTCTTACAGTTGAAAATTAAACAAGATGTTACTTTCCTCATTGCCTTTTGCAAAGAAACTTCTTAAAACTTGGCAGCCTTTCTAGAAGTTCTACCACGTATTTAGTGTAACGTAAGAATACGAGTAAAATTGACACATAAACACAGATTTAAAGGAACACCTTGTCTAGTTTAATTTTTTAAAAATGTATTTTAGTTTTTTTTAGAGTGAATTCATTACTGTAAACGTTACTTGCAGGACAGAAGCGATTAGGATTTTTTCCCAAATCGTAGCGTGTCACTTTTAGCCAATCAGAAGCAAGTAACGGCTTTGCTTACATGTGCTTCCGCGTCCTTTCCCGCGCGTTTTCATTGCCGTGTCATATTTGCAAAAAACTGCCTACGTTTGTTTGTTTGTATCTTTTTTTTCTCTTCGTGTTGTTGTCGTGTATGTGAATAGTAACTTTTTAATCTGTTTAATGTAAATTTAATATTTTTAGCGTTCAGGACGCAGCTGGGGAAGTAAACACAGCAGCAAAAGATCCACTTCAGGGATGGACGGCGACAAGAAAAAGTCGATTCTTCCTTGGAAAGGTAAGTTTGCTTCTTAGAGAGCGAGTTTAAATATTTTGTCTCGTAAACTTTGTGTGGAGTTGTGTTGATGACTGTTTCATTGACTCATTTCGTTTTCTGCCTTGTGTCAATCCGCTTTGTTGTCCAAAAATTATCACAACAATCACGAAAAAAAATGTACGATGCTTACTTTGTCGACACATTGACTGAATATGGTGCATGCTTCTGGTGTATACTGGCTGGATATAGTGTGCTGAAAGTTGTATATGGTCAATCTCGTATTAAGTGTGGTAGAAAAAAATTGTTTGAAGTCACGAGCTTTAAGATGGTTGTTTTTTGCTTCTAAGGAAGCAACATGACAATAAGACAGTGTGCAAAAGTTACGAAGAACACAAGTTACTTACACACGAAAGTTCTGTCTTGTTGTCATGTCCTTCCAAGAAAATGAGTCGGTCCAAATATACAGTGTACCCTTAAACTGCTTCTTTTCTTTCGAATTCCTTCTGAACTACCTATCTTAAAACGTGCAGCCCTCAAGGACGGATTTTTTTTTTCGGTATATGCTGATCGGAACTTACGCGTTTGCGAGTCGTTGAAGAAATGAAGGGCTTCCATTAAATATTTTATGGAACGGTTTAACTAATTCCAATTAGATTTAGTCAATTGGTTAGTCAGTTTAAAGGAAAAATATACACGAGAAGCATACATGAACTCAGAATAAAAACAAGCAAACAGCTTCAAAGTCGCTATTGATTTTAGTTTTGCATCCGATTACTGAATAAAGAGGGCGGCACTAGTTTTCCACGCAATTTACAAAGCTAATTTAGGTTAAACGAACATTACTTAGGAAAGCCTCCACTTCTCAATTGAATTGCTCTATGCAGAAATATATTCTGGTCTTTAAACATAAGTGTTTGTTTAGTCAAAAATCTGGCTTTAGTGTGGCTGATATTGTTGGTCTTAGAATTTCAAGTCCTTGTTGTTTCTTTAATTGTGTTCATGTATACACTGTGAAGAAAACGTACTATAAAATACCAGTGTTACACGTTCCCCTATATTTTGACGTTACATATTTGTTTTTCTGGTAAGTTTTTTTTTTTACTAAAATGCCCATTTTAGTTTAAAAAAAAAAACACTCGAGCGACAGCCTTGATATTGGGAATATTCGGTGATATGATGTCGTTCTTTTGAAGTAAATCACTGAAAACCTTGGTGACGGTTTTGGTCAGAAAGCCAGAACGGTCATAACGTTTTTGTTCTGCCGGCTCACGGAGAGAAAGAAATATTTACGAGCGGTTAAGCCAGAAAATGCCCCTTGGAGCCGCCAGAGGAATGCCCACCAATTTTAACGCAACTTAATTTCCGGTAGTTTGTCTTTCGTAATGCGCGAAACTTTTTCAGTCAGAGCAGAATATTGTGTTGTTATATTAATTTACAAAAATAGTGCTGATCTTTATATATGATGATATTATATGCATTCCAATGAAATTTGTCGTTGGTTTAGACTACAGATTGGCCTTTTTAGTTTCGGATTTTATCCAAATTTACGTTTTGGATTTAAAATTTGAGTCGAAGCCCGCTATTTTAAGGTCCAAAGAATAGAACGGTGTAAATGAGAATGAACTAAATTTATGATCTGCGTTAAAGCCATTTCTTTTCTTTTTATAGTTCGCTAAAGTCATCAGCCCTCACAAGTGAAAAGCATACCTTTTGTTTAACAGAACAATCATAAGACGTTTATGTCTCTTTTACTGGTCGTCAATTTGCTTAGAAAGGATATTGCTTTTGTTTTATGGTACTTACTTGATAATAATGCTCCTCCTTCTCTTTTGCAGGAAAACACGTCAAAAAAGGTTAGTATTGGTTGTTCATTTTCCTAACTAGCATAATTATTTCCACTCGCATCAACGATCGACAGTTGTTTTACTGCTTCGAACAAAATCAAATCCCGGGTCATGTCGATCGCGCGAATTCTGACTCGAAGACGATAGAAATGTTGAAGTTTCAGATTTCTAGAAGGGCTGAAAATCTGTACACAGGCCCTCCTATAAGACCATGGGACCACGATAGTAAGTTATGAGACCTTTGTGTAGATTCAGTTGTGGCCCTCCTTTTTATGAGCTGTGGAGGGCTGCCTGTCGGCCTAAGGTGATTTTTATTTTTATGTGTCTCTGGATACTTACTCATCAATTATTCACATCGAGCTTTACTAGTCGCTGTAATATCGATGTACTTTTTGTTCGATCCTTTCTTAGTTTACGGTTGTACAGTTTATTGTAGTTGGATATCGCATTGAATGTTTGAATTTGGTGTGACTTGCTCATTGTTACTTGTATCATTTTCTCCAGGTGACAGATCTTTTGGCAGCCAACCTGGCAGTGCTCGAAGTTCTCTCTCCTCGCTGTCGGATTCAGTCCCACGTTTTAGTTATTCGACAGAGGTTCGTGTTCATAAATCGTCTTCTTGTACAATGTCACTCACGCTTCTTGTTTCATTAAGTGGGCATCCGTCACGCGTGTTTTACATCACGCACATGTTCACCAAATAGTCTGCGACTGCGATTGTTTGTCCCTGAAATGTCGACTCTGACTTTTACGACTAGTACCTTGTTGATTAATGAAAAAGACAGGCGCTGAAACAAATACAAGATTTTTTTACTATATTGTAACTCATTAGCTTTGCTGTTTATATTGTTGTGTTAAGTCTGGGTCTTCTGCTTTATTCAAATGGCAGTAACCATGCGAATTTTTTTAAATACAGTATAGCGCAATAAAATATAGCGGAAAAACATCAAGTTTTGTACTTTAAGCGAGGCAAAAACTCCTTGCCATGGTTGGTTATTGGAAACTTTTTCGTTATTTTGTTTGTTAAATATAAACATATTAGTTGTCATGTCTTGATTTTTTTCGTCCGCGACAGAGGCCACTTCTTTTACCATCGACGCTTACGTATCTTGTTTATTTCCCTAAATTATTAAATTCTATATTTGATTTGTGGGTAGAAAAACTACTTTTAAATTGAAGGAGACCCCTTAATAATAGTTGGTAGACATAAAACACAAGAGAGATATATGTCAGAATTATTCACAAAGAACAATCAGAGTGAAGAACGGAATAGAGAAATTTGTGCGTATGTTTTTGGATTACAAACCCAGAGAAACTTTGGCAAGTCTTTCGATCAAGTTCGGATGCAATTAGAAATCATTTTTCTCTTTATAATGTAGGGAATGTGACAATTCTGTTTTTTTACAATGGAGTACGTCTGTTATATCTATTTACTTTTTCTCAACGGTATTTCTTTCTTTTCGATATGCTCTGTTTCACACTTCACATAAAAAAGTACCGGAAATTCCTTTTTCCTATTAAGTACACTTGACAAATTTTCCACCATATACTTGTGACGTGGTAACAAGGTTAAAAGACGAAGGAAGTACTTCAAGAGGTTGAAGTGTTCGTATACTTAACTATTTGTGCATACAATAACAATAACCGTTTTTGACGTTGTTTGTACGCAGTCTCTAAATGTGGATCAGAGGAGGGAAAGTGAGTCATTCCAGTTCTGTAGAGTGATATTACCGGACCATTCATCCACCATTCTACTTTGCAAGGAAGGTCAAACCTTACGCCAAGCCCTAATGCAACTGTGCGAAAGAAGACACCTCTCACTTGTCGCAAATGAAGTGTTTCTTGGCGGCGGAGATAAGGTATCTTTTTTTCTTTGGGCTTTGACATGTTTGCTCCACTTGTTTTGCGCAAGGTGTCCTCAGTATTGATCGACTTTGGTTGTGACCGTAAAAGTGTTGTGTTAATCCTCTCTTGTATTATATAAAAGAGATGCATCTTTCCGGTAGAGATAAGATATCGTCCTCACCCTGACCTTCAGGGTTTTTTATTTGTTATCAAAAAAAATGCGCTTTAAATAAGTATTGATCGAGTGTTTTGGTGACCTTGCAAGTGTCCTGTTTCGTTGTCTATTTAACAAATAGATCGTATGTTGCCGTGTGCATTTTCAGTAACAGATGACGGATGACGTTAAAATGTTGTAAGAAGAAAATCACCGATGCTTTTTCCACATTTCGACGTCCTTTGTGATCTATTACTCTACAGACCCATGGCAACATGGAATCGATTTGTTTTGAATGATAAAAACGCAAAATGTTGTTGATAGCGACGTCACCCATGCGTCTGTCCTCAAATAGATCAAGAGTAAGAACCAAAGAAATGCGAGTAAGATTCAGCTTATCATATGGCGTCACAAGTGAGAACCAATGAAAATGCGTGTACGATTTAGCTCAGTATATGACGTCAAGAGTAAAAACCAATGAAAAAATGCGTGTAGGATTCAGCTTATCATATGACGTCACGCGTAAGAACCAATGAAAATGCGTGTAGGATTCAGTTTATCATATGAAGATTGTTCCTCGAAAGACCCACCTCAAAAGTGTGGTTGAGATTTAAGCCATTTTGGGTGGCAGTTAATGATTTTGAACGGACAATCGAAATCTCATAGATGAAGCCTCCAGCAACAACATTACCTTGGTTCAATTTGAGTCGTGCTTATCCGGAAGAGGAATAGTACTTCATGAGTTATCTCTTATTTCTTGGGTATGACGGAATGTTTGGGTGATAAATAAGAGGTAAATCCCCGCCTAAATAGGAAGTACTCGAGAACAGGAAGCACAACTCGTTTTTCACAATCTTTCTGTGTTTGTAGCTTGTCCTTCTAGAGGAACTGGATGAGGACATGTCTATCATGGGTGGCAGAGAGGTGGTCCTGATATATAGAACGCTTTTCAGGTAAGCTTGACACAGGAATGTGATTACAATATAAATACATTATCTAACAGGCTGGTTACAAGAGAAGACGGACTTATGAGCTTTTTGGTGGTATTTTGATAGAATACTAAATCGTCTTTATGTAGCATCTGTACGGGAGAATTACCAATATGGTAGGGATCGTTGTTGTATGGGCCATTTTCAAAATGAGACCAAGTTCAAAGCCTTTCTTGTTTAAATTAGATTTAGGTGCTGGAGAATAAATAATCGCTACTTGCTTCGCACTCACACCTTCTTTTAAAACAGAGGCCCTGAACATCTCGCAAATGGCCTTTAGCGTAACCTGAAAATTAATGCATTCTATTTCGACCAGCTTTTCTCAGTGCTGTTCTTATGGCTAGAACTAGGGACCACGTACGTTTGCATTAGAGAACATACACCCAAAAGAAAGGAAACAGCAACTCGCCGAATCCCGTCTAACCATGTGTGTTGTCTCTGTGTATTGCCTCACTTGGCTTTTAATATCGTGCGTTGTAGGTTGGAACTCCCGGATGGTGAGATCCTGTGCGTCAAGGTCAAACCCGATCAGAGCGTGAAAGCTTGTTTGGAGCCCATTCTCTATCGTCAAGGATTGTCTCCTAATCATGTGATCACTCATTTGGTGCGTTGCTTTCATGTCGCTTTTGTTGGGCATTGTTGATAACAAAAACCCCTGTTTAACGTTTGTTAAAAAAAAATCTTGGTGGTAAATGCATGTAAAGAAACAAAACACCGCCTCTCACATATGAAAACAAAGGACATTCTTTACCGTGTCAGATCTTTCTACGAGATCCTTTAGAGAAATTTTCAGTGAAGGGTCGAAAGAAACCCAGGATGGTATTTCTTTTTTGCGCTTTCCAACGTTGTGTGATAAAAAAAGATTCACGCCATCTTCGTAACTAATCAGGTGCAGAACTTAAGACTTGGTTATGCGCGTTTTCCCGCGCTTTAGGCAGTTTGCCTGTCTTACTCTGAGTTTTCTTTCGCTCCTTGGGATTACTTTAGTTTGGTTTTCGCTTTTCAACGCTACTCAGTGGAAAAGTGCTCGAAGCTTTCTCTCATGCTCACTTTTCCCTATATACAGGCGGGATGCGAAGTGCCTTTGGACCCTGGTATCCCAGCAGCCTCTATTGAGCATCAACTCGTAGTTGTGGAAACCGAGGAACGGCTTACAGGTAGAGACTACTGTTCAAGGTTCTTCTGTTTTGTAGTCCTCTTTTGTTGGCTCCGTAATTGGAGAAAGTAACAATTTTCCTTTAATGCAAAGGTGTAAATACATTATTGCAGTTATCGGTGTGCTATTTATAAAACCTGTTTGTTTATTTTGAGTATTTAGCGTGATCTTAATGGCAGAACTTCGAATTGGTAAAACTGGGAGGTGATAAGATTTCAAGAGACGAATCGAGAGATGGTCGTGTCGTAATCCTTGAAAAGTGCCTAATACTTACATAAACCGAAATAGGTTATCCTATCTGCGTCCACCCGAAATTCTGTAAAATCTCATTTATAGGCCGCCTTCGTTTCAAAGGCCTTCTCTTTGGTTATGTGCCGCCGATATTTTCATTTCCGAAAAATGCTCTCGAGTCTCCGTTTATGAACCACCTTCGCCAGAAAGGCCTTCCCAATGCCCATCTTTTTTATTCTGAAAATTTCTCTCGGGTTATAAGATACGCTCATATTTAATCCGCTCATACTTAAAAGTTGTTCGCCGTCGAAGGTAACTTAAATGGACTGTATGTGAAAAACAAAACTTTCAAAATCTTTTTATTATTAATAGTATCAGACAAATTGTCGTCCTTGATTATGCTAGTTGGTATATTTAGATTTAGAACTTATCATTTCAAGTTTAGACTAACTTTTGTTGTTAAACCTGGCCGTCGGATATCGATTTGACGAGCTTCAGTTTCCTAAGTTTCTCTACCCAAACTAACAAACGTCATCCATATTATATATATTGGACTTAACATCTGCTAGTTTTGAAGGTGCATGTTATTTGAGAACGCGTTCGCTAAACACTTCCGCAGATGAACTTCGTTGTTTTTCATCTCTTGGCGCACCCTCTGGGTGGTTTTTGGCACAATCAAATTTTCTTTTGTTTGCCAGCTGCTTATCTCTCACCTACCTGTAAAGCTAACCAAATCTGTAAGACGCCTTAAACAGATCTGACGTGTTTGTCTGCGAATGTTTCGCGACTCGGTTTTTGTTTTGTGTTCCTTCTCTGCGGATTCTTGAATAGAAAACAAAGGAGATAGATTGAGATCAACTTCTCCAGCCTCTGGTGTTTAGGGGGAATTTTCCAAATTCCTACCGATGTTGAAATTTGCGGTAAATGGTAAGTTGTACACATCGACATTGTTTTGTGGGTTTCTTAGTTTTATTGTTGTCGATCAAAGTTTCTCAGTACAACGCGGGACTCTTTCCCAGGAAAATATTTAAAGCAAAATGTGATTGTTTTTTCATGGCTTCCTTCACCTTTGTGCGCTGCCGGTACTGTATTGTCGAGTTTTCTTCGGTCAGAATTGATCAATTGGATTTTTCCTTTTTTGTGAATGGTTTGCACTCAAAAGAAGTCTGATAAGGATTATACACTTTCTCGTATTGCATTGACGTGTTTATTAAATTATGTCCTACACGTTTTTATAAAGAAAGACTGCGATAACTCTAAAATTCTCCGAAATATTTATTTAATTTACATGTGTGTCAGACTGTTGAGTGTGAATGAAGCAGGTGGCTATATTTATTGTTCGTCTCTAGTAACCGTAAAATTAACTGTTTCTTCGCACGAGGCAAATTTTTATTTTGCGAAATACTACTGCATGTAGACTATTAACGTTAAACTCCTCTATCTTTTTTTCCTTGGCTATGTAAGGAATCGATGTCCTTAAAAAAAAGCCTCCTAGAAAGCTAAAAGTTCTTCTCCGGATTTAGTTTCATATCTTGTTCCTAGTTTCCGCTTACAAACAAAGCTAGCAATGTGATGCAGCCTTTCTTGTATCATAACAGTTCGTTCATTTATCGAAAACTTTCCCTTCACATATGGTGACATAGATCCTTTTTTGAAAACAATGTTTACCTTAACTTCGGCCGGAGTCGTTTCAGTCATTAACTTGTTTGTCGATGTGGGTGACGAGATGAAAAATAACATTTGAAATGCAGACATATAAACGGTGTTCATCGATTTTTCGCTTCTGAAACGAAATCCTTCTTACACATTTATCTACTGTCAGGTAATTGAATCTCCTATGATAGCCTATACATATCATTCTGTACCATTATGACCTCTGGATGTCGGCGCGGCAAACTAAAATAGGATTCGTTAATTAGGAATTGTTTCTCACGAACAAAAACACAGCAGGTACTAAACTGAAGGAACACAGCTGTTATAACCTTGACCGTCACAATTATGCCTCAGATCCAGCTACCCAAAGAATATTAAAAACAGACTAAGAAGACTGAAACCACGAGGGTGAACACCACTGTTACAGTCATCTTGTTCAAACTGAACCGCATGAAGATTTTATTTAATAGCTTTCTTTTCGATGGTTACATATAAACAAGGGTTCTTTCTGAGAACTATTGCTTACAGCGAAATGGAAAGCACTCCTTTAATAGTGCGTAGTATCTGTTATGTTAACTCTTTAACTTCCAACATCATGATTAAAATTCTCCTTACTGTCTGCAGTACCTTTTGTTTTAATTTGGTTTTGAGAATTTGATGTTGGATCTAATGGAAAAATCCTTTAGTTAATATTCTATATTCTCAACACTTTTTTGCTCGGCATTGTGTTGATACTGTTAGGAGAAATTATGTCTTGGTCACTCTTGGGATTGGAAAGGGTTGATGTCTAGAAGGCACGGTTTTACATTAGCGAACAATCCTTGGTTTTATTGCCATCGAGGATCAAAGAGAGCCTTCGCTCAGGTTTTCAAAGCGAGACTCGGGGTAACAATCCCTTTTCGAAGGTTCTTCAAGAACAGCTGCGTGAATTCTCGGTTTCAAACCATTTATATGGTTGGAGACTCGACAACTTTTTCAAGAAATTTAGTTTTCTTACTGTTTAATGTTTTGTTTGTTTGTTTGTTTTTTCGGCACAGGAAATATCAACGCTCAGTCTCCCCCTCGTCAAGTTCTTTCCACGCGCCCCCCGCGGCGGGAAAACAAAAGGAACACGTTTGACGATCTCGCTTTTGAAGAGGTCATGCGCGGTAAGAGACAAGCTCTTGGCGACGGACACTTTGACCAACTGGGAGTCTGGGTTCCTGAGTCTTCACCGAGCGAGGATTCATTGAAGGAGGAGCTGTACCGTGGAGATGGAAGCTTTGGAAAGAGTTTATTGAAGGCCCAAGGATTATTTGCAAGAAAGCGAAGAGAAGGCAGCGAACAGGAAAAGATTGCAACAGTTGTTAGTAAAAGTGGCCGCTTCGGAAACGAAAAAACCTCTGATGTGAAAGGTATACATGCTTGTTTAGCTCTGATCCATAGACGCCGCCAATAATTCATATGAGGGAATTTCAGTTATTGGATAGGACTTACTTACATGCCACGCCTAAACGTTTATTAATTTGTTTTTCCTACTGGTCGAAGCAAACAACGGTACATTCATTCAGTCAGTGGAGGCATACAATATACAGTGAAAGCTTTGATCAGCAGACACTTGCGGGACCCATCCTGGTGTCAGCTTGAAAATAGGGTCTGCTTAGTGCTGATTTTATTGTTGTTAATATTGTGAGACTTTTTTTAACATTTATTTCTTGCTCGGCTTAGTTATAACTCTGACAGGTTTCATAAGACCAGTCAGGGTTAGAACCCAGCTGAGAAGGAGTACTTTGAACGGAAAAACGTGTCCATCCTCTCTCGGTATGTTGTTCTTCGGAAGCTACAACAAAATCTTTTTTGAACATGTGTAAAATTATAGATAACGAACTACCTTGTAGTCACTTTGATCCACAGCGACTTGTTCTTCATTTGCGAATATGATGTGCGACAATTGCGTTCCACTGAGAATAACCTTCCTAGCAAGTATAAGCTTAGTCTTACCTAGCCAGAGTTTTTTCTATCTAAAACCTCTTTTTGCTGATTGAGGTCAATTCGCAAAAACGAAAACTTGCAAATTTTCCATGTTACAAGGTGACTTGTTCACCACCCTCTGGTGTTTGTAAGCTTTCCTTTTACGCCAGGTGCAACCAAGCACTTTGATATTGCATTCTGATTCGCTATTTGAATGCTAAAACACTTGAATTTTCTTTTGTTTTTTTACCACCAACCTGTCACATTTTCTCTCTGCGTCAGTGTTGCCATAGTTTTCCGGAAGGTTTATTTAATTTGCATTGTTACTTGGAAGGGTCGGTCAAACCGCTGCTTGTTTATGTGAACTTTTTATTCGGCAAAGGCAAGCTAATTTATTTTTGCAATTTTTAATGGTAGTGTACTTCTAAGTCTACTTGCTTTGCGCAGTTTGTGGAATATCACTCGAGGGAAACGGTGTCGTCCTTTTTCCTTCTGTTTACCTCGATAAACGTTCATTGTTAGCACGCGCATTCTCTTCTCGAATTGTCACAAATGTGTTGAAGATAAGGATTGCGGTCGCGATTGTAAGCTTTTTAGCAAATAACTGCTACTAAGTTTCTTTTACTTCAAATACACCACGTAGGCGATTGGCTTTGATCTCAAAGATGTGTTAATGCGATTTACTTCGCAGTTTCAGTGTCAAAGCAGCAAATTTATTTCGCTTGTTTTCATTAACCTGCTGTGCACCGTTTCAGGCAAGTTTTCATTTTTTTTTTTGTTTTTTTTTCCTCTGCAGACTTCTTCGACCTCATCAGCCGTGCTCAGGCAAACAGAATGGATGATCAGAGAGGCGAACTAAAGGGAAACTTAGAGTTGCCAGATTTTCTCAAAATTCCAGCCAGCAATAAGTCAGCTCAAGGAAATGAGAATTTTAAGGTACCTCATCCTCCTCACGCATTCAGAACTTCAGAGAGGAACGTAACGAAGCCTGTCTTGAAGAAAACACTATCGACACCAATCGATCGTCCTGTAGAGAAAATGGATTTGATGCAAGAGCTAGCTGCAAAGTTATCCAAGAAAACGGAACCAACCAAGAAGAACCCATCGCCGAGAGTTGATCAGCAAACTGAACCGAACGAAATTCTTCTAGACTTCAATTTTAACTCGAGACCGCAACCGCAGCAGGCACAGAATTCCCAGTTAGCTGTTAACTCAGAGGAGAAACAAAAACGCACACCGAGACCCAGATCGTGTACAGATGCTAATGTGTACGCGATGGAGGCTACTCCGCACGGGATACGAGTTGAAACGAGCAATCGCCCACAACCTGTCGCTGACGCGGAACCTCGGAAGAACGTTGCTCATGTTCACCCGTCAATACGGCCACAAGCATCGCAACCTGTCACTGTAAATAGCTTGCGTGGAATGCATTACGCTACAAATCCACGGCGCAATACTGTGGATCAAATTATGCATATTCCCTCTACAGGAAGCGTCAAACCGCATGCAGTTGGAAGGGTTTCATCTAAATCCTCACAGAATATCAGAGACATATCACCTGCAATCTACGATGTGAGACCGGATCCGAATCACGAAGGGACATTGTTGAAAGGGTATGATAATTCGGTGAAATATTCAAGTATCCCCGTAGATGTCCCTCAACGAAAACTTTTCTCGGCATACAGTTTGCCCGAGGTGAACTCCCAGAGAGCTGAGGTACACATTCCATCTGAAGGAGGCCCCCCTCCAGTTCCTCGGAGGACAGTTTCTAGTATGGACCGCCGACCCCGACCTAAACCTATTCACAACCCTAAGGAACTTTTAGCAGGACTTGAAAACACACCGGTGTCGTCGACTGAAAGAGTAGAATCACCACCGAACCCTGATAGTTCAAGAGTTGCAAGCCCTCCCCCTCCCCCTCCTACCCCACCCTCGGGCTCAATGTATGACCTTCAAATAGCCGATTTCTCTCCGCCTCCTTCGATTTGTGCTTCACCAGAGAAAACCTCTCGCTCGCCCGAGGATCGAGACACTAAAAGATCCTCGCTGATATCAGACTCCCAAAATAACACTCCACCAACCAGAGCTAACAGTGCAAGTTTTGCTGGGACCGTAGCGTATGTTGACATGCCAGGGAAAGATTCCCAGAGACCTTTGAACTACATTAAACAGCCGATCACGCCGAATGTTAGAGTAAGCAGTTTGAACTCGTCCAATTTGACAAATTTATCCCAACGCGTGCTAAGTGAGGACCGTCTGGATGCAACCACACAGGCGTCCACTCTAGGTTCTGTGACGCCAACTGTTTCGAACTTAAACAAAACGATTACGCCATCTTCGGTAAACGATAGGACTCTTGTCGAGGAATCACTATCGGAAAATGTGACTCCGCATGCGGGTCAAAGACCGTCAATGGAAAGTGCATCTAAACGGCTGATAACCAACTCGGGAAGCGTGCCAAGAAGTAAAAGCACAGATCAGGAGAAACGTAGAAGTCGACAGGATAGCGATATTCCTAAGCTAGACCCTTACGTCACTTACGAAAAGGAAGACTTGCGAATAACATTCGTGTGAGAAATTCACCTGTAACTACTTATGAGGGAGAAAAGAGAGTTAGAGATATATTGTGACCTGAATAGTAAAGAGTTTACATCTTTTTTGCTGCATTTTAATATTTTCCTAGCGTTGCTTATGACGTATTTGAGTTTATGAATTTTAATTAATGAGATTTTTATGGAACTTCTGACAATATGAATGAATATTAATTTAAGTGATCTTTAAGATATTGAGTTAAAGTCAGAGAATCTGGAATGGATGAATGGGATGAGTTAGGTCGGCGGCGTTTACACTGGAATACAGGCGAGCCTTAAGTGTAGCTAGCCTGAAGTGTGACGCTTCTCCTTGTGGAAAATGAAGATCCTTTTCTGAAGAGTAAATATTTCTTATTTATATTACTAAGAAATAGGCTTTTTATGTATTTTATTGGCTAGCGAGATGAATCTAATTTTGTTGTTCACGATGATGATGACGTGTTTATTTCCTTATTGAAAATCGAAGAACCACTTGTTTCCTATAACTTGTTGTTTTCGTTGCATGCGATGAAGTATGCAATGGCGCAAAGGTCATTATGGCGTCACGCATTCCACCTTTAAGTTTTGCGTGACAGCAAGAAAATGTCGCCCTCATGACTTTTGTAATAATCTTTATGGGAGCATATTTTTTTATATCTTTCCCTCAATACAACTTGTACCGTTCAATAATATGGAAGGCATTGTTTAATTTTTTCATGTTTTGGAGACTGAATTTTCTCAGAAAGGTTATTTGCTTATTTATGAGGTTGTTAACACTACGTTTTTTGGTCATATTTACCTTTTAGTTTGAAAGGCAGCCAAAGTGTATAGTTTTGTACCAAAGAGGAATCAATTATGAAATACACTGATTGAAATTGTATCAACGTGGTCGGCAGAATCTTTTTGACAGTGGTATCTTTAGTTGATAAAAATGGTACCCAATTTTTCATAGTTTTACTATGATGACGTACACTGAAAACTTGTGGTACACCAAATGATACATTTCAAACACAGGAATTCTTCAGTAATTTAAATTGTAACCAATTAAAAGTGATTGAATTTGTGAGCGATCATATCCCTGAAAGTTAGGTGATTTAGAATTTTTGAAAAGGAACCGCGCGTGGATTCCAAAAATTGTGTTCACTCGTTGGTCATGATCTTTATTTACATTTGGTGGCTCTTAAAAGAGCCGTTTTGTGTGCTGCGGTCAAACAACACTTTACTTGCTGCTAGAGTACTTGGTGACCGCCTTTGTTCCCTCACTCACAGCGTGCTTAGCCAGCTCACCGGGCAACAACAACCTAACGGCCGTTTGTATCTCACGAGAACCAATTGTGCTCTTCTTGTTGTAGTGGGCGAGGCGGGATGCTTCGCCGGCAATCCGCTCGAAAACATCATGAACGAAAGAGTTCATGATTCCCATAGCTTTACTGGAAATTCCTGTGTCGGGGTGGACTTGCTTGAGCACTTTGTAGATGTAAATGGAGTAGCTTTCTCTTCGCTTTTTGGTTCTCTTCTTCCGATCACCTGACGCTCTCTTTCCACTCATTTTCTTAGCCTTCTTTGCACCTGCTTTGGGAGGCATTCTCCTGATAATTAAGAATACTCGCCACAAACCTTAGGTAAGAATGATAACTTTAGTACATTCAACGAATTTGGCCATACACTCGGACAGAAATTTATAGCAAAAACCACAGGATCAAAAATTGCTGGGATCGAAATTGCTGATATTCGATTGGCTGGCCAAATATAAATTTGCCGCCCGAGGAAACAAGTTATTTTGCTGTTTCATGATTGGCTGACCAGCAGATGCAATTACTTATCTTATTGGCGCATTTCGATCCATCTGCATTGATAAAGCATGGAAGAAATTTCCTTCAACTGCCTTTAGAGATCTGTAAGTTTGTAAAATTAAGCCAAGGGTTTCTATTTTATTATGACGGGTCGAGGAAAGTCAGGTAAAAGCCGTAGCAAAGCCAAAAGTCGTTCATCTCGAGCTGGACTTCAATTTCCAGTTGGCAGAGTACACCGTCTTTTACGTAAAGGAAACTACTCGGAGCGAATCGGTGCGGGCGCTCCAGTTTACATGGCAGCCGTTCTCGAGTACTTGTCCGCTGAGATCCTTGAGCTTGCCGGCAACGCTGCACGGGACAACAAGAAGACCAGAATTATCCCAAGACATCTTCAGCTCGCCATCAGGAATGATGAAGAGCTGAACAAGCTCCTTGGTGGGGTCACTATTGCTCAAGGAGGTGTTCTCCCCAACATCCAAGCTGTTCTTCTTCCAAAGAAATCCGAAAAGAGAAGCAAGCAGTAAATTGCCTTCTGAGGAAAAACCAAACGGCTCTTTTAGGAGCCACCAAAATTTCAAAAGCAATGTCCAACAAACAAATCGGAAAATAATTTTCCCCTTTATTTTCTACTCAAACAAAAATATATCAGAACACATTCTTTTTAGTACCCCACCTTTGTCTTGACAAACACTTGCACGATTCAAATACCCAGATTTCTGAACTAAGCCATAACTAGCTACATATTTGCTAAGAATCACAACCAATCAGTAGGTGAAACTCAAAAGCCTTTCCGTCGCAGATTCAGAAAAATATTAGAATAACTTGACATATAAATACAAAAATAAGTTCTATTAAAAAAACATCCACGGTCATTTACAACCATCTGTTTTCTATTCGCAATGATTGGAAGACTCAATCTTTTTCCAGAAAGCTTTCTTGCCCTTTAACTTTTCCACATCTTTCTCTGATGAATTTAATCTTTTTACATAATCCCTTCAGATCTTCATTGCTTATTTCAGTGAACAAGTTTAAAGACGGAATGAAGAAATGGGGACAATTCTTATCACGAGCGAACGACTCTAAAACCTCGACGAGACCATGAAAACGAGAAGGAAGTTTCTCTTCAGTCCACAGATCTACATCAGAAAATTTTGCGCATTCGTGCAACAAAACAGTCTGTAATAGGTATGGCTTAAGAAAATTGCAACCAAGTTTTTTGTAAACCAATGTTTTAAAGAGCTGAAAACTTTCCCATCTTTGAGGAAATCTTTTGAAATCGAGCTCAAATCTCTCTGCTTTGCAATACCAAATTCTCCAATGATACTCCACCGAGGTAGCTTTCGAAACCAGCTGAATCCCACAGTTAACTGTTTTCCGTTTAGAAGGCGAGTTTCTTTTGTGACCCAGTTTTTTTCCTTTTGAAGGATAAGTGTGAATCGGCAATAAACCTTCGCAATCAATAGCAGTTAACAAGTCAACAGTTAGTATCAAACCTCGGAAGTCAATCTCAACACGAACCTCATTGTCAGAAGAAATATTCCTAACCTCAATGCCACGGGTTGTTTTGTTATGGTATAGCTGCAAATATAACATGTCTGTAAGCAATAGGGACAGAAGATTAGAAAATGCATTTCGTAACATTTTCGATGACAAATATTCCTGTCCGGAAGAAGATCTGCTGCATTCACTTTTCCATGTGTTGAGAGTGTGCGTGTTTTGAATCACCTCGACCAGCGTGACACCCGGAGAACATCCATGCAAACGTATTTCGGCAGGGCGAAGGCTGTCTGGAATAAGGAAAAGAAGCAATTCAAAATGGTTCCTCTCCTTTTCCGTGAAGAAACTTGACGCATCGACAGGTTGGAATGAAAACTTCGAGTCGTATTGTGCCACAGCGCTTAAGAGAATATTCACGACTGATTCCACTAATTCGAAGGGCGAATCCTTCGTAGTGTCTCTTTCTCCATTTTCAGCTTGCAACATTGGTACCACATGGTCTATCCAGCGCGGATTTGACTGTAATTTGTGAAAAAATGCTTTCCTAGTCGAGGTATCCATATCCTCCTTCGTTTCAACAATGATTTTAGCTTTTTACCTTACTGTGGTATCACAAAGATTCAGTTACGAAGCAGCACTGAAAAATACACCGCAAACTAATATAATCAACTGTTTAAAAATTAACAGCGTTCTCATGAATACAAGGGAACCTTTGTTGTGGTTTTCAGGTCCACCGATTCGTAATATGGAAATTATTTAATATAATGTGCGAATTTTAAACTTAAATATGATCAGGCGTATTCATTTGTTTCGGCCATTTTAGCCCTTTCTCGGTTTTCAGTACGGACTGAAAATATGGATTATTCGCAGAAGGCAAAGTGAATATTTTTTAATAATCCCCGAGACGAATATTGGGGGGTTAGTCAGCAATACTCACTGAGCCTGAGACAAAAAAATCGTTTAAGCTTATCATCCATAAGATTGTCTGCGCAATAGAATAAATTTTATTTTAAAATTCTTCGCTTATAATTTGAGACGCATCAAAGAACAAAGGCAAGGTGTCTGACACGTAGTGCACGACCATAAAAAGAGACGTAAAACTTTTATTTGCTGTTTACTTCCGCGCTTTCGAATTATGTGGTAAATTCGTTTTTTAGTTGCAGTCATTTTTTACATAAAGAAAGGACTGCGCATATTTTAATGTGACTATTTTGGTTACTCGAATTGAGATAGGCAACCAGTTTCCATTAGAATCTGACAGAATTGTAATTTAAGCGCTAAGCAGCCATTATGAAATTTAAACACTTCGCGTTAGGTGATTGTAGCGAGACTTCACACAATCTCCGACCAATCAGAGCGCGAGTATCTCTATAATCAGCTGAGAAACAATATGAAACTGCGATGACGGTTTTGTTTCAGTCAGACGTCCATTTGTCCTTACAGGTTTCGTAAAAAAGACGACTCAAAAAGGGCGTTCACATTTCTAATTTTAATAACAGCCTTGTGGAAGCCCGTACCAAAAACTTTTCGTTACAAATTTTACATCACACCTTTGCTTGATCGATACTTTCACGATTTGGCGTTTTTTGGGAACCCTTTAAACCCTAAAAGTTACCAGCATCTTAATTCTCCTAACAGTAATACTACTGAAATGTTCATAAAAATCACGAGAATGAAGAAAATGATCACCAACCTAGGATTCTTTAACTTAATAATCAAATTCTCCTTTTCGGTACCAAAGGAAAAATATAGGGAAGAGTATGGAGAATATGAATACTGATGTTGGGGTGCAAAGGGTTTAAAAGGGTATAAAAGAAATGTCTGCAGAGGTTTACAAAATCTTTCTGGAGGGTTCAGAGCCATCTTAACTTATCAAAAATTGAATATCTGAGCCATAAAAAATTTCATGACAAGTAGATGAGCACTCTGATTTTAACACTTTAATTTAAAAGCTGTGAAAACTACAGGAAAATGATATTCCTTTTAAAAAGGAAAAAATTCTCCCCCATACTTAAGTATTTTCCTTATCCCATTACAGGCATTTTGTGGCCAAAGTGCTCATTCCTGACTATTTTACAGCACATGAAATGCTAGGAATCTACCTGCAGCTGACTAGCTTCTCATTCAGAAGGAATCAAGATAGTCCATGTTGCTTCATGCTGGAAAAAACCAGCAATACACATGGTCCAAGCCTGTCAGATCTTCTTTATTTCATGTTAAGATTTCATAGATGATGAATGGTGGTAAGCTTTTGTACAAATTCAAGATATTAGCTGTTCACAAAGAAAAAAAATTACACATCTGACATAAAATTTCCCATCGCCAATGCCTTTTTACTGACTTTTTTCATAACCTTTGGCTTCCTTTACAAGCACAGAAGCAAGTCTATCCTCAGTTATCTGGGGTCCATTTCATTCAAAATTCCTCCTCATATCATAATTGCAATATTATCACATGAGATTTCTATTTTTCTTTCTTTACCCTACCCATTGAATAAAACTCCTCATTTGGTCGCATGTTGGTTAAATGAGCCATTCTATTTGACAATGCAAACAGTCCAGCAATAGTACCAACATCCCAAGCATCTTCAGTGTTCAAGCCATGCTTTTCAAGAGCTGCTATATGTTCATCTTCTATTGTTTCTGATCTACAAACACGCATTGCAAACTGAATTATAGCCTTTTCTCTTTCTGTGAGGTCAGCACTGTGCCAGTTGGCTGTTATCTATAGAAACCACAAATAAAAAAAATTAATCAAAATAAAAACAACTATTATTGACACTCCCAAAATAGTAGTGGACTCAATAGCAGTCTAAATGAAAACATTTGTTATAATAATTTATCAAAATTTATCAAATTTGTCAAATTTTTAACTCCAGATATTACAATTCTAGTGCTCTAATTAATTCACTCAACCAGCCTATCAGCAAAAATTTGGAGTCACCTCATGTGGAAATGCTTTGCCCCAACTGTTGCAGAGCTGAAAAAAGGCTCCAAATACTCCAATTTTCAATAAATTTTGATAAAGCAGTGCTGCATGCCAACTCAGCACTGCATGCTATTTACCACCTCATATCCATTACCCACTCGTGGAATAATTGTTAAGTACATATGTACATGTACTAAATAATTTGAAATAAGATAAGCTATGGAATTCTTAAGAAAGCCCTTTAGGTATTAAGTGATTTTACCTGATCTCCTAGCAGAGGATTTTTTGAGTAGATTCTCAACAGGGCACCATGAGCCACAATACAATACATACAGCTGTTTGCTGAACTTGTTGCAACTACAATCATTTCTTTTTCTGCTTTGGTAAGGTTTCCTTCTTTTAGCATCAGAGCATCATAATACATAAAAAAAGCTCGGAATTCATCTGGTCGATGAGCAAGAACTTTGAAAACATTTGGTAAAAAACCACCCTAGAAAGTAAAGAAATGCAAAATGTACAGTTTCATTTCTGGTAACAGACATGCCTAAAGGAATAAGATAAATAGCAGCTTTTTTTCTTCTCTATTTCTCAAACAGGTTTTAAGTTTAAGGTTAATACACTCTATAGTGCTAACCTTGTTTATTGACAGTGTCCAATCATTAGGGCGTAGGTTACTGGAGAAGTGATTTTGGAATCCAATAAAAATTCTTGGATCTGCCCCTTATGATTACCTTGCGACTAGAACTGCTTCTCAGGCTGCTAGAAATTGCCATAAACACAATTAGCTTTGTCCTGTTTTTTCACATTATCATATTTGCTTTAACCCTTTACCCCCAAGAATAGTAATTCTCCTTACTGTCTGCCCTACATTTCCCACAACATGGCTTCTGAGAAATTATTGTTAGGTAAAAAATAATCCCCTTGTTGATGTTTTTCTCCACTCTTATCACCTACCTGCTTGATGGTGTATTGTTATAGTAAGGAGAAAGTAGTTCCAGGTCACCTCTGAGAGTGAATGAGTTAATCCGATTACTCCATGTATTAAGAATACATTTCCTTGGCCCTCATAGGTCGTTTACTTGGCCTCCCCTGTACTTAAGTTTTGTCAAGGTAGCCACACAAAGTCTTATGCAAAATGGAGCAGGTGTATGGAGGCTAAAAACTGTGACCTAAACCATAACCCTTCTATGACTTTCCAAACCTGCACTCACATCTATCTTCAAAAAACTCAATAATATAAACTTACATCTGCTCTTCTGGCCTTGTGGCCGTGAAGGTGGACAATTTTTGGAGCTGGATCAGACACCATCCACCACAATTTACTGTGTATTCTTCAAGAAAAATACCTATGACCCAAAGGTAATCTATTGTTTTGGTATCGTTTTCTTTTATCAAGGAACGCCCCGTGTTCTTCCGCCGGGTAAGGCTTAAATTTTTTGTAATAGCAATTTCACCTCTACACGATCTAGTGACCATGGTTATTTACCTACCTTCTCCTCTACCTCTTTCATTCTCTCCTGCATGTCTTCAGGCAATGTATCCATATTCGGAACAGGGAAGCGGCTGATCGGCTTCTCTTGGCTCATGTTCCTATTCCCCACTGCAGCGACAAATTTTTCAGCCAACGATTTCCCCTGAAACAAAGGAGGCGACTTTAAATACCTCAGACCTCTTCCTACCATGCGAAACGCCATTCTTTGGCTTGGCCCTCTGTTGTCTGTGTTACATGACGAAGGTTGTGAACTTTGGTTTGACCGCTGCATTTTCGGTTTGTGCCCAGTTTTTCTCCAAGACGATCTTCATCCCATGACGTCACGCTTAGCAGCCCCGACTTTAGTTGCTACACAGTATACAGTGCGTTCTGGGCAACTTTCGTGATCTTCACGCAGAATGGTTAGTAAATGATCCTCAAAATCGTTCCTTACTTGAGGCTTAGTAGCTAACAATAATTTTTGCAGGGTTTGCTATCGCTTCTGCGAAGTCTAAAGTCAAATGCAAGTAAGGAATTAAGGATTCTTTTCCTTGGTTTGGACAATGCCGGCAAAACTACGATTTTGAAGCAGCTTTCTCATGAAGAAATAACTCAGATCACCCCAACGCAGGTATGTTATGTGCCTCTTTTCGTCGACGATGAAGGCGAGAAATAACGCCCTAATTAAATATGTTTCCTTTTCAGGGATTTAACATCAAAAGTGTCCAAGCCCAAGGTTTTAAGTTAAACGTATGGGATATAGGAGGTAAGCGTAGCTTTGCTGTTATTACGTGCAAAAAATCATAGTGTTTTCAAACAATGTCCTGGTGAGTAATCTTATTATTTGAGAGTATTCGTGTACTTAATTATTTTGATGTTTGAGAACTATCGGCTTAGAGGACAAGTTTTGTATTATTTGTCTTCTTTTATTAGGTCAAAAAGCCATTCGTCCGTATTGGAAAAATTATTACGAACACGTTGACGTTCTGGTAGGTATTGATTGACAGTCATTAGACAATTCACCAAAATCAGCAATAATAACTTCTGAAATTAACACTTCAGTCCTATCTTTTAAGGATATTTCCAGCGAATTTGTTTGCTTAAATATCTGCCAGTGCTTGGTTTAATACCCACTTGCTGTGCTTTCCATTTTTCCTCAGGTTTATGTTATAGATAGCGGAGATCGTAAGAGAATAGAGGAAAATGGTATTGTAAGTATTGCATACTACTTATTGCCACTCTTTAAATTATAAATATTGCGTAAATTCTGTCATGCAAGTCTCTTAGACATTGGTAATCTTCACTTGTTTGTTCTCAAGCTTGTAATGTTCAATGTGAGTGTCAGTTTGAAGTTTTGAAAGTTACTTTCAATTGGAAGTTGTGGTACTTCCTGTTTGACAGTAGGCACAGAATTTGATAATAAAGTTAATTTATATGGTAATTCTTTGTAGATGGTACAATATCTTTTTCTTTAGGAACTAGAAGAGCTGCTCTCTGAGGAGAAACTATCTGGTGTACCTATGCTTGTTTTTGCTAATAAACAGGATCTTTTGGGAGCTCAACCTCCAGATGAGGTAACTAATAACTTACTTTACATTAATTTCCGGTACTCATATTCCTTGAAGGACAAGTTAACACTACAGACTAATCCCCAAGATGTTGAAAGATAAGAAGATCATTATTGAGAATGATGTTTTTCATCTTGTCATGACCATGGGACAAAGAAAAAATTGTGAGTCCCCATGAGGAATCAAAACTCAGACCTTCAGATGCTGCACTCTGTTGCTCTACCACTGATCCACAGAGACTCTGTGGTGAGCAAGGTCCAGTACAAAGTTCCTATATGACACACATCCTGCATACAGCAAGGATCGGCAATGTCAATGGTGTCATGTTTGTAAATAGAATAAGAAAGATGGGAAGTTTTGAGCTCGACAAGGAAATAGAGAAAGATTTTTTTTTGTCTTGTCACTAGCATGGGACAAAGAAAAAATTTTAAATCCCCATGAGGAATTGAACCTCAGACCTTCTGATTCTGCACTCCAGTGCTCTACCACTGATCCACAGAGACTCTATGGCTAGTGAGGCTAACATTATGAAGTTTGTATATGACTTTTGGTGACTCAGAAGTTTTTCTTTGACCCATGCTCTTGACAAGACAAAAAACATATTACTCTATTTCTTTACTGAGCTCAAAACTTCCCATCTTTCTCATTCTAAGATCATTATTAATATTATTATTTTTGTCCAATGCTCACTGGATCTGAGGGGAAAAAAAAATTTCAATGTATCAAATAGGTGCGAAACTTAACTAATTTCGCTGAAAAAGTATTTTTTAACGACAAATGAACAATGGATATTGCTCATTACGCTCCTACATGCTATAAAAAGGTAACTGACTGAATAAGAATTATAAACCTCGATCATTCGCGATAAGTGTATCCACGAGTCACCAATTAAGTTAAAATGCCTGCTGTGAAACGCCCGTCACAGTTTTACGTTTGATTATAAGCTTAGAGTAATAACTCTTGCCGATGAAATCGGTAATAGAGCAGCAGCAAGAGAATTTGAAATTGATGAATCCATGATCCGTTACTGGCGAAAAGAAAAGAAAAGCCATGGCAAAACTACCAAAACGTCAGCGCACTTGCCGGACTGGTATCGCAAAAGTTTCCCGCATTGGAAAATGCCTTGAAGGAGTGGATTGTCAGCCAAAGAGAAAATAGCCGTGCTGTCACTACCGTCATGATCCGACTGAAGGCGAGAGAATTAGCAAAGCAAATGAATGTTGCTGATTTTGTAGGAGGTCCGAGCTGGTGTTGCAGATTCATGCGCCGACATCGATTGTCTGTGCGAGCAAGAACCACGGTGGGCCAGAAACTGCCCGATGACTGGGAGGAGAAGGTTGCGAACTTTCACCAGTTTGTTTTGCGAAGAAAGGAGGAGCTTGGAATCCAAGGAGATCGTGTCTTCAACATGGATGAAGTCCCAATGTCATTTGATGCTCCTTTTTCCAGAACTGTTGATGCAACCGGAGCTGAAACTATTCCTGTGTCAACCACCGGTCATGAGAAAACAGGCTTTACTGTTGTCCTTGCATGCTCAGAATCAGGGAAGAAGCTCAAGCCAATGGTAATCTTCAAGCGCAAAACAATGCCGAAAGAAAATCTACCGGACGGTGTGGTGGTCCATTGCCACAAGAAAGGATGGATGGACAGAGATGGAATGGCTGTCTGGGGTGAGAAAGTTTGGCGTGCCAGACCAGTGTCCTTCTTTAATAGAACTTCGCTACTTATCTTCGACAGTTTCAGCGCACACATCGATGAAGGCATTCGAAACAATTACAGAACGGAGCACAAAACAACCACCGCAGTGATTCCTGGAGGCCTTACAAAAAAAGTTACAACCGTTGGACATTTCTGTGAACCGTTCCTTCAAAAACCATGTTCGCGAGGAGGGAGAAGTGGATGTCAGAGGGAATCCATACCTTTACCGAAACAGGAAAAATGAGGAGGGCCACCCATGCCAAGTCTGCGACTGGGTTGTGCGAGCTTGGAAGGCTGTAAAAGTTTCATCCATCAAGAATGGTTTTAGAAAAGCAGGAATTGCAAGTGGCACCGACGATGATGCATCTCAGACATCCGACATCAGTGACGATGAACAAATAACATCTACTGCAATTCTGGATCCTGTACTTTCGATCGCAGTTAATGGACTTATTTAATAGTGACACTGAGGATGAAGATTTTAATGGATTTTGAACTGAACTTACTTTATCATTCAAGTTTTTAACACTTAATCGACCGGAAATTACGGTATTTCATTGGAATATACATTTGTTTTAGTTTCTAAAAATGATTACTCACTTAAAGCTAACAGGAATTTTCTCCTGTCTATGCACTTTTTTCCTCAGAAATATTAACAAAATTATGAGGATCTTTTTTTGAAAATATCGTAAAAAAAAAACTCTTTTTTAATGCTGTCAGCATTCTAAATAGACCCTCCAAAATTAAGTTAGGAAAAAGATCTTTAATGTGCTACACAGAGGACACTAGGATGGATGATATACAATATTCAAGCTCACCTAAAGCAAAGATTGCATCTAGTCATTGATTGAGATGTTGTGCTGCGTTTTGGACATAAACTTAACAAGGAAGTTTGCCGTGGATTTATCTTTGCAAATCTTTTTAATTCACTATATCTGATGAAGCATTCTAGTCGCCAATTTGGTGACTGATTTTGAGGATTTGCTCACCAAAGTGAAAAATTTAGTAGCATTGGTGCCTGTATTAGGCACAATTTCATGCCCTGTTAACATCCTTCAGTAGAGAATTCTACCCTCTGGAAAAAAAGATGCCCCTTCCAAAATCACCAGATAGAAATTCTTCTTCTTATATTTTCCAGGGTGATTCTGACTTGTGGCAATCATGTACCTTCATACTTTTAAACGTACTTTTTAAAAACCTTGACCCTTGAGGGGTCATACCATGAAGGCCAGCCACCTACTTGGTGGATTCAAGGGTTATTGAAATTGTGGAAAACTTTTGTTGAAGGTGTACATTTATCTTGTCCCTCAAAGAACACACCAAATTGACCCAGCTTTGGCGTAAATCAATCCAGAATACAGCATGCATGCTTACCACTAAGCCACCATCCTCTTACTGTTTATTTGATTGTCTAATTTGTATTTTATTATGGTGAGCATCAAGGTATTTCAACACTTCTCTGCTATAAAATAATCACACAATTTCTTTTGTAAACTGTTACTTTGTACAGATATCAGATAAATTAAGCCTTCACACAATAAAAGACAGAAAATGGCAGATTCAAGCATGCTCAGCAAAAAGAGGGGAGGGTATTAAGGTTTGTATACTCTTCTGACTTGCAAAGTTGTTTACCATTGTCTTGTCATTGTAGTGTTTGACCCAATGACTCTAACTTGTTCGTTTTCTTAACATGAGGAATAAATTAACAAGTTTGTGTAATGCCTGACAATATACATGTATCAACTGAAAACTACTATACCTTGATCATTTAAAACATGAACATCTTGTGTACAATTTCATTATCACAGCAAAGGGCCTATGCTTAAGTCTTCCTACTCAATTTCATACTGATGATAAACTAAATCTCTCTTAGCCAATCTTGAGTCAAAAACTGTTTACACTGAAAGCATTCCTCCTCTCTCTATTGCTCTGAATGTGTGTGTAATCACAAACATCTCCCTAAATTTTTCTTGTGCATTTATGTAATATGTTATGCACAGCATTCTCATAGCTCATATTGACAGTTGTTAGTAATTAAGAATAATTAACAACTATCCACCAAAGTGGAAGTGGCTACCGATATTCACCAAGCCACAAAGCAGGGAGGTAAATAATAAACTCTAGCCACTCTTTAGTCTCTGAGTTGAATAGTTGTTTAAGTATCTACAAAAACAGAAAGATAATATAGCACAAAAAGATGATTATAACTCTTTGGTTCTTGCTACAAAGGTAGTGCAAAACTCAAGAGTTTCTGAAAGGTAAATAGCCAAGGATATTAAGGGTTTGAGTAGCCAGTCAGGGCATGTCCTCTCTGTCATCCACTGTTTTAGTAGATACTAATAATCACTCTTTTGTTTTAAAAAAGTTTGCCCCAACTTTGTATTGCTGTTTGTTCTTACCTACTTCAATAGTCAGAGTTTTTAATGGGTGAGGATACTAGCGAAAGTGAAGTTAATTGTAATTTGTTCATTAATTTGTGTTTTTCAGGAAGGATTGGAATGGGCATTGAAGAATATGTCAAGTGTTTCAAAGAAATAAATTTTTAGTTTATATGTAATACATTTTACTCACCTCTAGTGCTTTCTTTTTATGTACAAAATAAGCCAAGCAGTTTTCATTTCAAATCACCAGTCATACAATTTATCACTCTTTATTGCATGCCATATCTTATAAGGGTGCAGATTGCGTGTGTGTTTCTCACCAGCTGGCTAGCTCACCAGTACCTCTAGCTTAGATATAAACACAATAGACAGAGATGAAAGTCTGGCTTTTAAGTATATGTTAATGGAAAATAATTCTAACGAAAAAAAGAAAAGTTGTGGCTCATCTGATTTTTGTAGCACCATAATTATGTATAATACAGCCTGTGTTATTTAGTTTTTAAGTTAAACATCTAAGGCTGTAAATCGTGGCTAATCTGTTTAAGCTTCACTGTATCTTAGGTGTATTTTGTTCAAAAGTTGACGTGTATTATTGGAGAATGTGAAGTTAGTCATTTATCTCTCTTATTTCAAGCATGACAGGTAACATAAATATTCAAACCAGTAGAGCGATCCTTTAACTGTTGAATTTTCAAGAACTCCAAAGAGTTTTGGGCAGTACAAGAGTTACTACAGGTGGTGAATTTCAATGGTTATAGCCTGAATAGGAGAACACTGTGAGTGTTACATTCTTGTGTAATGAAACAATGTCAGTGTCTTGTAGGGAATGTATTGTTAAGTTATTATTGTCATTGGTTGCTTAAAATCTTGTTAGTCAGGTATTAGCCTGAAAGTGGGCTCCTATCGGTGTTGTGACAAAAGTTGCAAATCACTCAAGAGGTTTTAGTGGTCTGATCTTGCGGATGTTGCTGCTCCTACCTTAGCACCAAGGTGCTGGCTTTGCAGGTTTTGGTTGCTTTAAATGCAATAATTAACTATTAGCTTAATTACTGTGCCTCAAGTTGTCCAGTTATCATTAAATTGTTATTGTTATCATAAATGGATGTTAATTTTTTTTTAATAATCTACAACTATTTCATGAAAGCAATAGACCTTACTCAAGACCAAAGGCAAATCATAAGCCAAAAGTGTTCTCCCAGCATCTTGCAGGGGTTATTAGCTTTCTCAACTGACAGAAAATGTAATACATAGCTAGTGAAACACTAAATCCTATTGACAAAGAGATATGTGGCAGTTGAAAAACAAATAAATAATAATTAACCCTGAGGGGTCATCCCTGTAATTAACCCTCAACTCTAATAGGTGATAAACATGTTAATTCTCCCAATAGTATACAAACATTTTCTGGCAAACAGGTATTGAGAATGCACAAACTCATTGTGTAGGAGCTATTATCTATCTAACACCATATTCTCATAACTAATTTACAAGCAAATGTTTATCAGCTAGAGGGGAGAATTTACAATTAGATCTTGAGAGTTGAAGAGATAAGGGATTTTACCCACTTCAGGGCATATACACTGTGTACTTTTAAATGCAAATGATTTACTGTTCTTTTTTTTGGAAGGTTCCTATACATTTTTGGTGAATCCTTGTTATATATCTAGTGTACAATCTCTTTATAGTTGTGTTTAATGATTATTTTTTTGTAGCCATGTGTTATTTGATCTTGTATTTGGAATTGATTACTGTTTCAAGTTTTGCACAAATAAATACCAATAAATAAAGAATCAAGATAGTTGTTTCCAAGAAGTAAAATGTGTTTATGTAGATGTAAAAATTCCACATCAATCAATTTAACTCAAATAGTTGAATCTGAGAATAAGGGCAAAACATTTAAGTTGAATGCAAGAAGTTGAAATCAAATCTTTAGAACTAACAAAAAATCATAATCTTAATTGCAATGTGGAATGAATACCTCTTCGAAAACACTTGCTAACAACAGGAAATATTATATCAATCATCAGAAAAGAATAATTCCTGGTTGGCTCAAGTGTCAACACATCTATCTCTTAGTCAAATTTTTAGCTTTTCAAAAAATGTTCCTTTGAGAAGGCACCATGTTATGCTCAGTGCACCTTAAAAAACTTATTCTATCAAAGTTTTGATAATCATGGTCAGAGAATCTTATCTTTGTTAATATTTTTCATGTTCCCCTTCAGTTGAATCGTACCCTCCTGGTGTTGCTCCTCCATTCTCCAACAGTTACTTTGGGTCGACCAAATTTATGACTTAGTGTCACAGAAATTTAACTCAAAACTCAGACAGGTGAACCAAACAGTAACACATCTGAACATAATTTTAGTCGCATTCTTTATTTTCAAATCTGTAAATTTGTGTTTATTATAACTATAATATATACAGAAAGCCTCCAAATGAACTGGCAACTCATATTTTCATGAAAAATAATTACCCAGTACTCCACAGAACATTCTTTTACAGAGCAATTTTGCCCAACTTTAATGTCCTGCAGTAATCCAGATTGCAATTCCATCAAATCATTGCAATTATAACAAAAATTTACAAATCATTGAATCCTTTTCTTTTTTGGCAATGGCATTGATACTTTTGTAACATTTCCTAGGAGTACATATTACCAATGATGGCCTGAACAAAGTCTGAGGTACTTGCACTGCCACCCATGTCCATGGTTAACTAAAAGTAAGAGAGAATTATTTAATTTCTTCTGTAACAATAGCAAAATGCACTCTTATATTGGGTAAATTTTCAATGAATGCTTTCGTTTTTGTAGACATAGGGTTTGAAAATTGGGGATTAACACTTAAGGTATATCCCTAGATATTCCTCAGTTTTAGCTGGGTCATATTTAATCATGTGATGAGTTTGTACCAATTATGCATGTGCAAAAACAGTTGATTGAATTTCCCAGTATCCTGTCATGTGAAGCTCCTAGACCAGTCATATACAAGTAAAAAAATTGTGTTAGCAATGATTCCAAGTAAATCATACCTGTCCTTCAGCAATTGTCTTCTCTAGACCATCCTTGATCATTTTAGCGTAAGATCCAAGACTGAAAAACAAGACATGGAACAAGTGTTCAATTATAAGAAATTGGATTCATTTTTGGCTGATGTGATATTTCAAAGAAGGATTTCAAATGTTTGGTTGTTCTCTTGCATATAAGACTTGATCCTTCACAAATTTCTTTTATTTAATGTAAATGTGAGCATAAAAGTGTACTTCTTCTCTGTAAAAAAGCTTCCTGCAGAAACAGTGAATCAGATATTCTTGCAAATAAATCAGTTTACTACAGCAACCAACTATATCTGATGGTTTGTGGGTTTTTCAAAGTCCAAAAGATGGATAAGAAAAAACTTACTTCATATGATCCAGCATATCAACACTTGCCAAAATCATGGCAGTTGGGTTTGCAATGTTTCTCCCTGCCACTCCAGCATATGTATGGCGAGCTCCCTATCAGAAAATATTTGAGGAAAATCAAAAGAAGAACAAAAATTAATTCCTTATTTCTTGCCTTAAATTATAAATTTTAAGTAAGATTTCATGTAATGATTACACTATTAACAGTGTTGTATTATTTATGTGACTGTGATAAGCTGTATTGTTCCTGTTTGACCAGTTTACAACAGAGAATGTATAAACTACCAAAATGAAGCAGGAATGTCTTGACTAAAACAATTAAATTAACTATCAAGTTGGTAGCCATTCATTCACACAAGCCAAATACTGAATGCCACCAAAAAAGACAAAAAAAACCTTTTTTTTGGCGAATACTAAATAAAAATAATGGATAGCTTTATGATACATTCAGAAATTTGGTTTATTTCTTGTAATTTTCCCTGCCTTCTTAGAGAGTCAAAAAAAATACACAACTTTACATCTGTGCATATCATATATTTAACCATTGAAAAATAATTTAATAACTTCATTTTTTACAAAACATGGTTTAGTTTTTTTTCTAGTTGAGTTTTTTTTTTTTAATGTTTTAATTAATTTACTGCAAGAAATACTCACAGGCTCAAAAATGGCAAAGTTACTTCCAAGACTTTTTCCAGGCACAACTCCTGCACCACCCACCAATGCTGCCCCAACATTGTCCACAATACTGCCATACAAGTTTGGCAATACCATCACATCAAATTGGCCTGGCTTGGCAACAAGCTGAAGATGAAATTACAAATGAAAACAAATATTTATTATTATGAGAAGACCAGGGAGTATTTTTAGCACCCCTTGAGAAACACATCAATAGCCTTTGGCCATCACTGAGGCCCTGATCACAGTGTGATATCCATACTTATTTATTATGAAGGTAAGGCTCAGGCAGATCCAGGATTTTTCTTAGGAAGGGGTGTATTACTGAGGAATAAGATAACTGATGTCTGCTACAGCAAAAAGAAGTGCTAATACTCAAAACTTCCATGTCAAATTACCAATTTTGCTGCATTTAACTCAAATTCTTCAACCTTGTCTCATGTTTTACTTCAACGTCAATAAATCACAATGTTTTTTTCTCTTTTTTTCCACAATACTAGTTATATAAGAAATCCATAGGTGATCTGAGGGAGGGGTTTGCATCCCCTGCACATCTCCTCTTGATCCACCCCTAAGGCTAAAATTAGTAACAGGGTAATACCTTATTTTTTGCATACCTGCATGCAAGTGTTGTCTACTATCATTCCTTCAAACTTGATCTTGGGGTACAGTTTGGAAACTTCTTCACAAGTTTTCAGAAATAATCCATCACCCTGCTTCCTGGTGTAACAAAAGAAAAACAAACAGGGAAAAAAAGACTGAAAAGAAATTTCACAAAATCTTTTAAAATGATTAGAGTCAAATGAGCAGCTTTAAATGAAAATCAACATTAAAGATGTCCAGAGAAACTGTATAATTATCCATCAAAATTTACAATTTCATCTCTCTAAGTTCCAGGGTACATTAACAAAATCTATGTCCAGATGTCTGATGCAAAGAACAGATTGATCTCAATCACAGTCATCTGAATCTTTCATTTACTTTGGATTTTAATTCTCTTGGATATATTCATTGACAAGTACTGTCATACACCAAATATCTGCATTCCATCTCTTGAAGTTTATCACTGTAATGATAAGATGGTGGCATTTCACTATACAGTGAAAAATGTATTACACCTCTTGGCTCTTTTAATAATCAGTGCTCTTACATTTGTAAATTGTTTATTTGTTTACTCAGCTTACATGATGTTTGCCTTGTGAACAGCAGTGACTTTCTGTCGTTTGTGCTTTGTTGCATAATCAAAAGCAAACTTGGCAATCCTTTCAGATTTCTTCTTGGTTATAACCTTAATCATTTCAACTACTCCTGGTACACTCTGCAATAAAAAGTAGGGAAAAACGTACAATGAATGAAAATAATCATCATGATAATGATTGCAACCATAACAATTCAGCCCACTTGCTTGAGTGGTTTCATTGGGGCCTTTAAAAAATTAAACAAAATCTTGGACATTTTAACTTAACAAATAAAATGGGTAAAACATTCAAACCACCACTTAACACAGACAAAATAAAAATAATTACACCTAAGTTTCATCATCATTTTCAATCTTTCATTGCCTATCAACAAACTGACACTGCTGGATATATTATCTACTTACTGTATTTCCTTGAATAAGCACCACACTCTAGTGATTGTCCCCCTTGAATAAATGCCCCCTACCCTCACTTTCTCAATTAGTGGGGATCTAGGGTACACCTGTTTCTAGTGCCACTTCATTTACAAAGTGCCTCCCCACAATTAAGTGCCCTCCTTTCAATAAGCATCCCTCCTTTTAGCCTATATCTTAAAGAAGCACCTGGGCACTTATTCAAGGACATATGGTAACAGTTCTTATTTTACTTACATTTAAGTTATTATCAAAATCATATGGTAAATTCATCATTTTTACATGAACATGCTCAACAAATAGACTCCATGTTACTGTAATTCTGTTTAGCAATAGATCACAGATCATGTCAAATGTTGTGGGAACAAAAGAGAAGCACATGAGGTGCAGCCAAGTGTGTCACTGACAGTCTTATCACACTTTGACATCCTCTATGAGTTATTACTGTACAGACCCACAGCTGAATAAAATCTATTTGTTTCAAATGATAAAAAAGCAAAATGCTGTCAATGGCGACATCATCTATACAGACCTCATGTTCCAAACTTGTGTACTCTCCTTCTGTTTGTTCTCTGATGATTATCATATCTATATCAGTGTGCCTGGGGAACACAACCACACATGCAATTGGTTAATAGAATGACAGTATGAAATTAAGATATACACTGACACTACCAATGGAAAAGCTGTTAAAGGGAATAAAATGAGACATCTAAAATGAAAAAAAAAAACAATATATAGGTTATCAGGTCAATAAATACCTGGTTTTGTACCCTGGGAGGCTTTTACAATGGACAACATTTGCAAACAAGTCCAGTTCTGTTCTGCAAGGAAAAAATATTCAGACAGTAAATCATAATTTGTAGGAAAAAGTTACTTGTTATGACAGGCAGTCCAAGGAAAGCTCTTTAATCACATTTGATTTACTTTATTATAACTTGAATCATTTAACAAGTGCTATGGGCCAATTCCCTCTGGGTAACAAGTGATTACACAATGACATGGAAATGTAACAGGTGGATGTATCTATGCTATACCTGCCTCAAAAGATAACAACTGCCCTGCTGATGATGACTGAGTTTTAGCAACTCTTTTCCTATCAGGTGTTCAGTGTACATGTATCACTTGATGACTATAACTCTGTCAGTAACTTACTTCATTTTTTGATTGAGAGACAAGTGATCTTGACTTGAGATACTTGATGGTGTGGTCAGTGCTCCTGGAGAAACAGCAGCCATATCAACTTAAATTTAAAATAATTATCATAATAATCATAAACTAAAAGGACTAACCACCTTGATGACATTGATATTGCTATTTAAAAGGAAACTTTCAAACAATGCTGATCGCAAGGCTTTGCCAAACAAATCTGTTTGATGTACAGCACAATCACATGATGTACTTGTTCAAACCACCGGACAGACAGTAAAAAAAATCACAAACAAACACCAGAAAAGATAAGCACTGTTGAGTAAAATTAAAAATTCTTATCTGAGACCTAACTACACTTGGTAAAAAAGAAAATTTAATGAAAGAAATTGATTGTAACAGCTCCAGGAAACAACATGTATTAAAAAAAGGCATAGAGCACAAGACAAAAGTCAACAATAAAAGTAAAAGTGTGAGGTACTTGATTATTTAATCTTACCTTTTAAACCTACTCCAGTTTTCTTCATTGATTGGACGACATCATCCAGTGTGTATCTGCTACCATAACTCATATCACTGACAAGAGAGCAATTAAAGTCACAATTTCTGATAATGTTAATAATGGTTATAGGAACATGTGGAGTCCAATTCAGTCTGTAATCATACAAGTGACAAACAAAGTTGGACCACCACAAAGGGGGAGTCCAATTTGTTAGCCATGAGTATGAAAACAGACAGAAATGGATGACACAAAGTCCTGTTACCAACTAATCAAAACTACGACAAAATTTAAGACATAAACTAGACGTTTTCAAAAAAATAGCAAAAGTAACTCTGCAAAATTCAAAACAACAGCATGCACACATGACATGTTCTGTCCAATTACACAGGCATGACATGTTAACTGTCCTATTAAACTGGCCATTTACAAGCATGATGCTCAAATTGGGCTGGTGATAACCAATCACATCCAAGATTTTTTTTCACAGTTTTGATTAACAGTATAACTATTATAACATGAAAAAAGTCTGTACTCAAGCAAAGTGGTATATCCCATTTATACTCCCAGGTGGAGATAGGCACTGTGTATTGCCAAAGAACACAACACAAAGGTAGAACCTGGCTGAGTCTCAAAAACAGACACCTCAACACAAAGTTCAGTGTACTAACTATAGGGCTACTGTGTCGCCTACAATTATTATAACAAAGTTTATGGGAAATAAGTCTGAATGATGACATATCATAGAAATCTTCTTTTAACCTGCAAGATGGTATTACAAAAAATAGCCTTATTTTAAAGTTATGTGACTGACATGTCTTACCTAACTGGAATTTCATCCCAGTCCACAGGAGCTCCAGCAGCACTAAAGAAAAGCAGAATGTAAGGTAAAATAAGTATGGGCCTGGGTTAAACAATTTAACAATATTAACTTGATCCCTATTTTAATTCTAAGAGAAAAGGTAAACCAGGATCATGTTAATTCTAGCTTTTATTGAAATGATTACACAGACTTTACAATGAAAATTACCTACTAAATAAACTTTATTTGTCAAAGGGCTGGATCAATGGGAATGGAATGATGAAATGAATCTTGAATTTTGACTGGTTACTCAAGCAGGGAAGAAGGATCAGAATTGTCCACTGCATTCCTATTGGAAAAAGGCTTACAAGCCTTGTAACTGGATTAAAATACTGGTTGAAATTCTTCTTGTTATTGGTACATGGAAAAAAAGGTTTGATGGGAGTTATAGTAATAACAAAGTCACAAACACATCTTTTGATAGTCAAGGTTTTATAGATTTATCTGACAATTCTTCTATGCAATCATTTTGCCATATAAGACATTCTTTAGTGACAGAGCTTGATCAGTCGAGATGGCTGAATGAAAGCTATGTTTTTTATGTTCTTTTGGACCAAGAAAAATGACATTGTGCTTATTTACATGTAAAAGAGGAAAATGTATTTCTGAATTAAATTGGAATATTCTCTGAAGCATTTTAGACTTAATTATTTTCCTTAGGGATTTTACCTGAAGATTCTTTTTACACTGTATACAAGTTCAGGTCCAACTCCATCCCCTGGGATCAGTGTCACCATGTATCGGCCTTGAGCTTGTGTGAGTGGCTCAGATGCATTGCTAAATGATCTTGTCTTACACCAGGCAGCTGGAAGAAGCTAATAAGAAAAAAAACTTCAAGATTACACAAATGTATACCCACACTTAAAATTAAAACTGATGACCATTTCTCCATTTACTTTATCTTAAATCACTTGTCACATCAATATAATGATTTTCCCAGTAGCCCAAGACTCAATACTTCCTATACCAGGGCACTGGGTGTTAATGTGATTTTGCCAACAAAGCTAGAATATTAAGAAGTTTCCTTCCTTCTCAGTGTCAACCCTTTAAGCCCCAACATCAGTTTGCATAATTATTCTCCATTCTTTTCTCTACACATTTCCTAAGGTGCTGACATGGAGGAATTGGTTCAACAATCAAGAGCTTCTATAGTCAGTGATCATTTCTTATAATCTCATGACCTTAATGTGTGATTCAAAGGTGATATTGTAAGGAGAAATTACATTCTAGTCACTCTAAAGGGTCAAAGGGTTAACCAAACATACAAACTACCACTGATTTCCATGCAAATTACAGAAAACTACCTTAACATGCCCCAACATTTTTTAGAGCATGTTTTATTTCAAACACTTAAGGTAAGACTAGCCACAAAATAATGTTAATAATCTCTACTACCCTGAAACCAGGACAGATTGATCCATTACACACAATTTAGGTTTGGTTTCTAATGGTAAAATATTGATAATACCCACAATCATAGAAAAACTGATCTAATCATAATATTACTCTGGTCTGGTTAGAAAAATTGGAAGGATACAAACCCTCCTCAGACTACATTAGTGTGGTCAGGGTGAGTTGAATTATTTTGTTAACTAATTAGGAACCACTTCAATAAATGAACTTAAAAGAGAAAAATGTCTGCCTTTGTCAGTTAAGTACATCTAAGATGAGCATTATGATGGGTGACGTGGATCACTGTTCTCCTGGCAGGTATACAATCAAATAGATTAGTTAACCCTTTAACTCCCATGAGTGACCAATTGAGACAGAATTTCTCCTCACAAGTAATAATATAATATCAAGCAGACAAGTGATGAGAAGGGAAAAAATATCAACAAGGAGGTTAAAAGTTAATCCAAAACCAAATTCTCCGAACTAACATCATGAGAATTGTAGGGGAAACAGTAAGGAGAATTACTGATGATCTTGAGAGTGAAACGGTCAAGAGCACAATATTGACAAGATACAGAACCTGGGAAAAAAGCTGTTTCTTTCGACCCATTCTCTACCTGGGTCAAAAAGGAAAATACAATTTAAATACTCCATAGCTTTGCAGGGGAAACACACAACAGATGGCGGTATGATCTCATCATGTAATATTTGATGTTGATATTCAGTTTTCCCAGCTTTGATGCTGTACATTTCAGCAGATTTCAGACAAGCCATTTTTACGATCGTGCAAATTCAAAATGAGATCTTAATTTGATTTTGATCTATTTGAAATAAAATGAAATATTTTTCGGAACTGCATACCACCTGAGAACTCCGTGTCAACAAAATCCGGCTTGTGAAACGGGACAACTTCATAGCCGCCATGTTGATACGTTTTCCGTGAAATTCCGGTAGTATTACATGGACTAAAATACAACCGCTGATGAGGTGCCTTGAATTTTCATGCAATTTTTTCGCGGGAAATAATGGCGGCTATTCCAACTATAAAGAAGCTTGACGAAGCTGTTGTTAATCGTATTGCAGCTGGAGAAGTTATTCAAAGACCTGCAAATGCACTGAAAGAAATGATAGAGAACTCACTAGATGCAAAATCTACATCTATAACGGTGACGGTGAAGTCTGGAGGATTGAAACTTCTGCAGATACAAGACAACGGATGTGGAATCAGAAAAGACGATATGGACATCGTCTGTGAGCGCTTTACTACGAGCAAGCTCACGAAATTTGAAGATCTAAGCTCCATTGCAACTTATGGGTTTCGAGGGGAAGCACTGGCGAGTATAAGCCACGTAGCTCACGTTACTATCACCACAAGAACTGCACAATCCAGCTGTGGTTACAAAGCATCTTATTCAGATGGGAAACTTGTCTCACCACGACCTGGCATGTCTGCAGATCCTAAGCCTTGTGCTGGCAATAAAGGCACCCAGATCACTGTGGAAGACTTATTTTACAACGTATCAACGCGAAGAAAAGCGTTGAAAAGCCCCGGTGAAGAATTCGCAAAGATCGCTGACGTGGTCAGCAAGTATGCTATACACAATTCCGGGGTCGCATTCACTTTAAAAAACAAGGGGAGAACATGGCTGCTGTGAGAACTGCCAGTGGTGCGTCGATTTTGGACAACATTCGTACCATTTACGGAACAACAGTTGCGAGAGAGCTGTTGGAAGTGAACTGTGAAAACCAAAGATTTGCTTTCAAAATGCACGGCTACATTTCCAATGCAAATTATTCGGTCAAAAAGCTGCAATTCCTGTTGTTTATAAACCACCGTCTTGTTGACTCCTCGGCAATGAGGAAGGCCATAGAATCATTGTATGAAGCGTATCTGCCCAAGAACAGCCATCCGTTTGTGTATCTATCTCTGGAAATTTCACCCAGCAATGTTGATGTCAATGTCCACCCCACTAAACATGAAGTGCATTTCTTGCATGAAGATTCCATCATTGAAGCAATACAACAAACATTTGAAGAAAAATTATTGGGGGCAAATTCATCCAGGACATACTTCACTCAAACTCTTCTTCCTGGAATCTCTGTGACAGACACTTCTGCAGGTTGGTTTTATTGAAAACCCAAATCAGGGTAGGATGAACCTGCATATGAAAGAGATGGGGACAGGGTTCTCTGAATAAACCTTTTTTAAGGCACCTGCTACTTTTATTACTAGCAAACAAAAGTTTTAATAACCTGCTTTGGTCTAAAACAAAATTTAACCCTTTCCTGCCAGTTATTTGTTTACCTTCATTCCCAAGATCTCATTAGTTCTGGTAACCCTACAATGTTAGCACATAGAATTTGGTATTGGATCAACTAATAATCTGTTAATTGATGTTTTTCTTTATTCTTATTACTTGTCTGGTTGATATGGTATTGATATTGAAAGGAGAAATTATATTTCAATCTCCTATGGGAGTTAAAGAGTCAATGCTGGTTATGCTCCTGGGTCCAGTTCTATAAGGGGCAGATAACACTATGCGATGGATAAATTTCTATCCAGCAGATAACAGTTAACAAAATGTACTGTACTATTCACTGGATAGCGAATTATTCAGTGGATAGCTTTATTTGACATTCTGACAAACAGGGCCTGGGCAGTATTCCATGCTGAGATTGAATTGGTTATCATCGCATGTGGAAAACTTTTTGGAGATTATATTGCTACTGAAAGTTGCCAGTTTTGTGACTTGTATTTGGCAGTGATAAAATCTTTTTGTTACTAAGCGTTTGTGGCCCAAAATAAAAAGTGAGATCAACATGAAGATTTATTGATACTAGGTAAATGCTCTATCAATTTCTAGTCACAAAATAGCCAATTTTTCCATGGTTGTTGGGAAATTAAGCCATGAGATGAAGTTGCAAAAATGACTGCCAGCTCACTGTCTCAAACCAATATCAAACTGTTTTGATTGTTATGTGTTGTACTGCTGAGAAAGAATTAACAAATTCAGAAATGGCTTTTAGAAATTATTTGATCTCACATTAGATTTTTTAAAACTGTTTTTGATTTTCTGTCAAATTTGTTTCAGTTACATCTGTTGAGGGAGAAAAATCTAATGGTGCAAAAGTTTATGCTCATCAGATGGTGAGAACTGACAGCAGAGAACAAACTCTCCATGCATTCCTGCCTCCTAAAGATCATCCTGTCAAATCAAATGAATCTAACAAGTATGTACAAGGTTAAGTCTGTGTTACAGCAGTTGGTGTGTGTATTTTACAAGCAATGTGTTACACCATGGGATGATGAAAGAGGGGTGACTTTTAATGAAGATTTCTAACAATGTCAAATGTTAAATGGCCTTTTCCCTGTCTGAGGACTATTTCCTTATTCATTTATTAAATCCTCCAATTTTAGTTGACACAGATTTAGTGGTGCACACTGTAATCCAAGCCAATCTATAATCATAGGCAGCCACTTCTTCCCATAGACTCTTGAAACTTAGAGAGATAAATTTGTAAGGATTCCCTCAGAGTATAAATCTCTCGATCACTAGAATGTCACATTGAAACATAAGCATGGCTGATAAGTGTATCTCCCCTTTACTTAAATTACAGACTGAAAAGTATAGATAATAAGCAAATTTTTCTTGATACCAATTACCCAATTCAGTAGTAGTTTCTAATATTATGCATGCATTATTTTTTAAGCATTTCTCAGCTCTCCAGTAGTAGTAAACACAAAGCTATTGCTATGAACCAGAATCCATCTTCAACCATTATAAACCTTGATGAGGAATGTTCTGCTTCCCATTCAGCTGATGAGGACTTCTCTGAGCAGCCTGCAGGTATTCATTCAGTTTATAAGACATTTTACAAAATTTTTAACCTTAATTGTGCAATAAGCATCTAATTTCTTGCAATATCACTCCTGAATCAAATATTAAGGGCACTAGAATAAAGGAAATGACCACCAACAAAAGAAGCTCTTGATTGTTAAACAAATTCTCCTTGTCAGCACCATAGGAAATGTATAAGGAACAGTATAAAGAATATGCACACTGATGTCAGGGTGTTGTCTAAGTTGAACCAAATCACAATATAATCTGGGTGAGAGAAGTCCTGAGAAAGACTATTATTGGTAAGAGAGACCTAAATTTTGACAGTTTTGATCAATTTCCTCCCTTATTTTAAGTATGACAGGAAAAAGAAATTTTCAAACCTAGAGAGAAATCCTTTTACCTGTTGAGTTTTCAAGAATTCCAAGTGATTTTAAGCAGTAAGAAGAGGTACCACAGGGTACCACATCAAAAATAACACTAGATCCAGATAAGGATAAGGATAAGGATCACCTAGAACAGTTTTTTTCTAAAGGTAGGATCCACTTGTAAGAAGTAGTAATAGTCCAAGTTATATTATGTACAGAAACCTGAATACTCATAAGCTCTGGAAGCTGGATAGGTCAGTCCAGTATGCATAGTCTGATTGATTTTACTTTCAGGCTCAAAAAAACCAAGATTGGAAGAAAGATCCGAAAATGCAAGAAGTACCAGCAGTTCAGGAATTTACCGAGAAATTAGTCTGACCAGTGTACTGAATTTGCGGAAGGCTATAGATCAGTCTGAACACAAGGGAATGAAGGAGCTTTTTGAAGACCACAAGTTTGTTGGCTGTGTCAACAAGTCACTGGCTCTTGTTCAACACAGCACAAAACTGTACCTTGCCAACATCACAACCCTCAGCAAGGAACTTTTTTACCAAATAATCCTCTTTAAATTTGGCAACTTTGATTTTCTACGTCTGTCAGAACCAGCACCAGTGCTTGATCTTGCACTGTTGGCTTTAGATTGTGAGGAGAGTGGTTGGACAGAGAATGATGGCCCCAAAGATGAGCTGGCAACCTACATTGTTAACTTGCTGAAGGAGAAGAGAACCATGTTGTTGGACTACTTTTCTTTGGAAATAGACAGTGAGGGTAATTTGTTGACATTGCCTATTCTGTTGGATGGTTACGTACCAAATCTGAATGGACTTCCTATGTTTGTTCTACGTCTGGCTACAGAGGTTAGCAGCAGAATAATGTTATTCATATGATTTTGTTGTTTTCAACCTTGCATATGAAAGAAAGTGGTGATATGTACCCAGCATTTTTTTCTTTCATTTCAGATATTTTAATTTTGCCCCAGGAAGAGAGAAAAATATAGATCACACATCACTATGGGAAACTTACCTTTTGAATGGTTTGAAAATCCACTCACTCCTCCCCGAGATCAATGGCAAGTTTTCTACTCCAAAAAAAAGAGCCCAAACTCTAATTTTCTCATTTACAGCTGCAATGCTTTTTTTTCAGACAATTGCTGATGAATAAACTCCAACATCTAAGCATATTAGAATTAATCCACCTTTTCTGCACAATCCCAACCTTTCTAGGTGGACTGGGATAGTGAAGAACCCTGTTTTCGGAGCTTTGCACAGGAGTGTAGCAGATTCTATGCATTTAAACCAGACCCTTTTCAGGCTGATGACAACTCATGTGAAGATGACAATGAGGGAATTGATGCTACCATGGCAAAACCATCATCATCATGCCATTCATGGCAGTGGACTGTGGAACATGTGTTATTTCCTGCCTTTCGAACTGGTCTTATGCCTCCTTCCCGCTTTTCAGAGGATGGAACTCTGCTTCAAATAGCCAACTTGCCAGACTTGTACAAGGTGTTTGAAAGATGTTAATGACTAAGGTCAGCATTTGAAAAAACTCTTGGGTTGTAATAATTTGTTTGGGTGCAGAGATAAATCATTCTAGAATTTAAAAAGTTATTGGCTTGGAGTGTTAAATGTGATCCAAGATTACTTTATTTTGGTTTACTTTGCTCTGTGGTTGCACCATTCTCTTAGCCAATCAGATGCAAGACTAAAACCAATTAAGAACAGGTTGTTAGTGTTTTCCTGTGCTTTAGGCAGTTTGGTCGTTTTTCCTTTGAGTTCTCATTGGCACCTAAAGGTTTTTTCCTTTCTTCAGATTGGTAGTTACAATTGCCTTGGGTTAGGTTTCAATCAAAAAGTTCTCTAATTAGCAATTTAATTCTTTGTGTTTCAAGAATATTTGGATTTGAATCGTTTGCCAAGTGCTCATCAAAAATCATAACTGTTCTGGCATATTGAACAAGGATTCATCAGTCAATACCTAATTCTTACAGACTGATCATTTAATGACAGTCTTTGTAAATTTCATACCCAACCTTCATATATTTCACTACCATTATTTTCATCTTAGTTTGGAATTGAAACTGAAAAAACGTGCTCTTATTGGGTGAAAACTTTGGCTCCAAAGCTTGAAATTATAGGTGATATTTTTTGGTAAACAAATATGCTGAAAACAAGGAGAAAAGGTATTAAATTAAGTTGTAAGCATAGCATTTTTTGTAAGTTTCATGCATAAAGAAACAAGGTATAAATTAAGTGGAATGGTCTATTAACCAAAAGTTTACCACCTTGGAGTTTGATGTACAGTACCACTCATGTATACATTAACTGAAAAATGCAAATTAAATGTGCCAAAAATCGCATGCAATTGCGAATAAAAAAAAATCATGCATGTCAAAAAATCGTACATGAGTGCATGACTCTGAGACATCAACATCATTAGTATGTATTTGCTGCTTTTTCAAACCTAGAGGTCCTTTGTTTCATACAACAATGAAATACAAAGGAAACTTATAGCACTGAATAACAAAGGCACATGAATCACGCATTTTTTTCTGACCGTGCATGCAAAAAAATTGTATATACGTGTCTGACTACCCTGCGTCAGAGCATATGAAATTCGTCTGCACAGTTAATGTATACACAAGCGGTTCTGTAAGATCTTGATGTTTGTTACACAGAAGGAATGATTCAAGTACATCTTTAAGTAAATGAGAACTGGCTCACTCAAGGAATGTCTTTATTTACTGAGTTTTTTTTTTCTATATAAAAAAACCCTCCAGGGCAGTGGAAATTACCCCAAATTACCCACTTCTCTTCTGCATCATGCAGTGCACTATTTTTCTGACTAAGCTTCATTTAAGGTGAAATAGCTTTTAATTTCCTACCAAAGAGTATCTAAGCTTTTTTTATGGTAAACATAACATAAATAAAATATTAAATTGTTTATTCATTTTAATAATGCAATTGCTGTTGATTGTCAAATCATTCAACATAATCTGCTGATTTGCTGAATACTCTCCGTTAGTAAACCATAAATCCCATGAAATGGAAAATATATTTTACATCCAATTTACATATTGACTATACATTGTGTATCATTATACAGCTGTAAGTTAAAGAGGGTTCAATTAACCTGTCTGGCCATAAACCTTGTTATTAATTACAAATTATATAAAACTCTTATGTGATAAATAAACTTAAAATAAGTGATAAAATTGAATCTCTGCAGTCTTCATCTTCATCTGTAGCTGTATGCACACTAGTATGGAAATGTATTTAGATTTGTTGTGGTTGGGAAAATTTTTAGTATCTCTGTAAGTTTGGCACAGGGTTAAAAAGAAACTGCACAAAATCTGAAATAGTTTTTTCATTGGCCTTAGCTATAAATATTTTAAGTTTAACTTATTGTGAGTGAAAAACTAATACAGCATAACTCCATCTACAGTGCTTATCTCATGCTTTTTTGCTCTGAAGCAATGCGTGCAGTGAACCTTTTTCATCAAAATAATTGTTGGACAAATAAGTATAACACCAGCAGCACCTAATAAAATCCAGAAAGAATATCCCAGCTGAGCTTTGTCAAAGGAAGAGAACCCACGGCTTTGATCTTGGGGCTGTAGGACATTTTTCTTCAGTTGAAGTTCAAATAATGCAGCAAACAGGCAGGCAGATGTCATGACAAAGAGAACTGAGATAAGGAAGAAACATACTCAAGTCAGTACTTATGTCAAAAAGAATTTTGCATAAATTTGAGTACATTATTTCATGATTTTTGGGTAGGAATGATATTTAGTAAGTTCTTGCCTTATGCAGAATAAAATCCTTTCTCAACATCACAACTGACAATAAACCAGGAGCAGTTTATGCCATTTTTTCAGTTTATTGTATTCACAACAAGATCTTTTTCTAACCCAACCTTGTGCTTCCATGGTGCACTTTATTTGGTACACTTTTCAATAGTTTGGAAAATTCTCATATGTTTTCTTTGAATCGGTCATTACATAAATAATTATGACAAACAAGCCAAGCTTGATGCCTTTATATAAAGTATATCAGTATGTACATGTACATGTTATTTTTCTTCAACAAATTAATTGTGATAAAAAATATACATTGTGTAGTCAATCAGATGCAAGTTTAAAATAAAAATTACCACAACTTATCACCCACAGCCTGATGTGTATTTGCCTTTTTTTCTGACTGACAACGACAATTACTTTGGATTTGATGATACTTAGTTGAAAAAAGCTCCAATTAAGAAATACTTACATGCAACTCCACAACAAATGTATATCCCAATAGTACCACAGATAGTTAGGTCTGGCTTGGTAAACTCATTATAACAGGAAAGTCCAATCATGATGCAGATGACAAGTAAACTGAGAATACAGAAGCCCACTGTTGCCCACATTACATTATCATTAGCCACACCTTCAAATTCATCTTTGACTGAAACAAGAAATAAGAGGGCCATATTGTTGTTTTGTGGCCAAGCATAAAAGCATATATTGACAAATAACTAATCCAAAACTTAAAATTAACCCTTTCACTCCCTAAATAATTAATATTTCTAGTGTTCTGATTGGTACATTCAACTCTGGTTATCAGCTCATATTGCAAGTCACATTGTATGGAAATGCATTGTGCCAATTGTTATGAGGCTGAAGAAAAGCTCCAAATATCTAAATGCTCAGGATTTAATGAAACTTGATAAAACAATTAAATCCTATTTGCACTTGTTGGATGCAAGATTGGTTAGGCCAACTCATATCCAATGTGCCTTGTTGGTTACCACCATTTCATATCCAATATGCACTCATGGAATAATTGTTAATAATCCAGCAAACAGGTAATGAGAATACTTAAACTTTTCACTTTTTCCTGACAAAATAGGGATTTTTTACAGCCAGGAATACTCTTAGCTATGCCCTGAATCTTTAAGGAAACACTCAATATAATCTTCACACCACATCATACACATTCTGTACTTTAATTTGCACCTTCAACCTCATTTTAATCCAAATATATATCCACATGTTTGGCTTTCAATACCACTTTTCCATCTTGAAATTTTCCAGTAGCCTTGCAGGTGCAGGCTTGAATGGTTTATTTAACTTTACAATTACAAGAGAGAATATATCCATTATTTTGTCTCTGATTCTACAAAGTGACAAATGTTGACAAAGGTAATACTTGAGGCTATGACAAATGAAAATTATCTGGAGACTGAATACACTGATTGTAAAAAAGGCCTGGAAATTTTTTTTCCCAGGTATTGCACAACCTGTCAGGAGATGTTTGTAAAAACCTTCAGTTATTTTGAGAATCGGTTTGTTAAGGCAGGTGGCTGATAGTCCTCATACTTAGTAGTCAAAATTATCTTCAAAACCTGACTCCCTTGATCTCCCTTTGAGACAAACAAAACAGACCCTCATTTGCATCGACAATACATTCTTTGATTTGGGAACCAATTTTTTAATTTTTTATTGAGCTTGCCTCATCTTTTTCGTCTTATTTTTTTTAACAGTATAATGGTAGTGGATAATTTAACTTACATATATTGTCTCAAGACCTTGACGAAACACACATTTTTTTTGAGCAAAACATTTTAGTGTTGAAAGCCACTATTTCATGCTTTATACACACACTCAGGTTCTTCCACGAAAAGATGTAAATTTTCGGAGATACAAACGCTTGGTAGTTTAAGTGCTTTGGGAAAATTTACTTAGCAACGAAATTTAATACCTCGCCCGTAGTTACAATGTCAGCAGGTATTTTTTCTTGAATAAGGATTCTGTGAGCTTTCGACCATAAATGCTAATTTTATCACTTTTTCTGTCAGTGCATAAAAAAAAATTTACAGAATCATTTTTAGACCGATCAAAATGCTACATAGATATTTTGATGTGATTTGTTCTGTAGTTTGAGCTGTACCATTAAAGATTTAAAGCGATACAACTTCTATATGGTTATTAACATCTTTCGATTTAAAAATATTGATTTTTTAAAAAAGATAAGTTTTACCTTCGAAGCCTCTTTCTCTAGCGCCTAGTCCAAAATCCTGCTTGCTTACCCCTTTAAACATTCCAAAATGTTTCGATCCTCCTGTCTGTGTCGAATTGCCGACGCGACGTTCGAGGTTCGCCATAACCCAGTATTCAGAAAGCAACGCAGCTACGATCATCACAAACGCTATAAAAGCCAAAACTGCTGCTATAACGGCTGCGCCACTTCGTTTGAAAATGGTCGCCATATTGACAAAACCGAATTGAGGTGTACTTGATGATTTTCAATTTACGTGGCTATAATTGTTTTCTTTTACTTCCAAAAGACATCATCGTTTTGGCGCGGATAAGTGGACACACTGAGCTAATAAACAGCACGTGTGGACAACCAATCGCGTGACACTTGTAAGTCCCGATGCCCGTCCCGCAAAGAATAAAAAATATATTGTGCTCGGGAGTCATATATTACAAAGCTTGGGAACTTTAAGATCTGAACAGCTCTGGTTAGCAATGAAATTTTCCCTGGAAAACAGATATGAAAACAGGAAATATCCATGAATTGAAATCCTAAACAAATTTAGTCGCTGGGTTCAGGCGCCGAGAACGTCATATGCAGGTCAGCTTGCCTTCGATCTCGAAGGGCGGGTCTTCCCCAGATTGCATCATGGAGGGAATAAAGTTTCAACATCGATTTTTTTCCCTCCCCTTTCTAAGTTATAGCTTAAATTTTACGCTGTAATTGAGTGCCCGGCAGCTGGGCACGGTCTTAAATAGACTAAATAGTCACAGCCTAGGTGTT